TATGTTAAAAAAAATTGTTAATAAAGTGAAAAGTAGGGCATGAACATATATTATAAAGTATATAAAATGATAGATAAATCCAGTTTAGAAGGTATTATAAATAAACTGTGGAAATATCGAGAATCTCGATTTTGAATCGGAAAAATATTCTACGCAATTTAGTATGAAAGCTGATCAAAATGAAATACATGAACGACAAACTGTTATTGACAACTTTCTTCAAACGTTTTCTATTTTTCCGAAAACTAACTAGATAGTTCGAAAATCATTTCCTTCGTTAAAACGCCTCTTGTTCCGAAAAAGGTACACGCCTGCCAACATTTATCGTTCATTAAAAAAGTGGTAGATACACGCTTCGTATTGTAAGGCCAAAATATATTTAGAAATCGAAATAGTCATATAAACAAAAAAATCATATGAGTGAGATAACTACCAAATTAATGATTTACAAGTTTATTCCTATTATTTATAAAATAGGTTTGCAATGTGCTGGTGTGAAATGTTATCATCGACTAAAAACTTTAAATCTTTGTATTAAATTGATCTAAAATAAACTATAAATTGATTTAGGCTATATAGAATGTTTCTAGTAAGCAGCAACTAATGTTTATTATGGAACCGAAAGACCCTTTTAAAAAGGTTCAAAATTAAAATAAAATATGTACCAAGTAAATGTAGTAGTATTTTTTAATTTTTTAATTTATATTGAAAATGGTAACATGAAAGGTTTTCTGTCTAACGACTCATAGTCTCGGCTGACAAAATGTAAAAAAATATCGAACATAATATTCCTGGGCCCTATTTTGCACTCCCCAGATTAAATTTAGTTGTAGCAAATGATATTATCAAATAAGATGTCAAATCACAAGCAAAATCTCGTGACTACAGTACTAATGATTGCCTGTTTGGAAAAGTATCTTTGTTTGTAAATATTTATATTATGCATAGTTATATTTAAATGCGCGAGTGTATTGTTAAGTATAAACAAAATCCGCCCATTATGTATATACGTTTAGTTACCGACCCTAGTAGATAGGCAATTTGTTATTGTTTTAAGTTTTACCGTAGGGAGAGAGAAAATCAATATTAGGATAAATGGTCCAGCTCCTTTCTGGTTACGTAGGTACCTAAAAAGTATTTTAGTTTTTGGTTAAGTAATTAATTATTGTAACAGTGATTTTCTTGTGATAGTACCTAATTTAGATTGTGGATTAAAGTTTTTGTATATAATTTCGCTGTTTAATAATAAACGTAGTCAAAACCGGAGCACGTGGTTTTTCTGGAAAGTATTTTTAAAATCACAAGCAAAATCTCATGACTACTGTACTAATGATTGCCGAAAATTAACTAATTCATATTTTATGCCATATCTTTCTTAATAAGGACTGTCAGAACCATATTTACCTTAACTTGAAATTTTTTTAACCGTTTTTTGTATAGAATCATCTCTAAAAATGTATGATTGAAATATCGTGCGAACTATTTGTTCGATCAATAAAAAACTTGCACCGGTCCTGTTCGCGCCAGCACCGTTATACGCATGAGCTCCGACACACTATTTTCTCCTTATGGTTTCATTTTTGATATATGGAATCGGCTTTCTATACTATTTCTATGCTCAGGGTCTACAAAATCTTTTATCGATCCAAACGTAGCAACAACATTTTATTCTAAATACATAAAAAACGATCCGTTTATTGTTTCACACCACAACAAAGTACTAACCAAAATGACCTTATTGATTTATATACCGAGAACATACCTATATTTGAAAACACCTTAAAAAATAATGCAGTAAAAATAAATGACGACATAGATAATATATCTCTACAGGTTCAAGTTGACTCAGATGCTCACATTGAGGCAGCACACGAAATAAAAACATTACTAAATGATCAAAAGATCAAATTAAAAATATTGAAAACAATAACGACAGTGACGACATTACTATACATTCTAATTTAACTCACAATCTGAATTTTGAAACACCCACAATAAAGACATCTGTGAACTACGGACAAAACCAAATAATTATCAGTGACGTACTACATTCACCAGCTACCCCAAAAATAAAAATTCTTTTCGAAAAAAAAAAAAGACGAATTAGTGATCAAATATGTTCGAGCCATTCTTAGTAATCCTACAAAATTATTTTAAAAACTCTGCTATCAAATTTAGAAGGTGTACCCAAAAATTATTAGACATTACAACCAAAGACGAAGGTAATGAACTTATACAAGCCTATCACGAAGGCAAAAACAAATTCAAAGAACAGCATGTCTCAACATTTATTGGGGTTGCATTTTATCAGTTTTAATGCCCAGTTTTAAATATATTAAAATATCCAAACGTATCATTTGGAAAATCTATTTACATTAAACTCTCAAAACAAAATATTATCGCCGCTGCTGTTTAATTAAATCTCTGGAACATCCTAAGGTCTATTTTTAATTTAGGAATTTTTGACTTAAAAATAAAAGTCAAGGTTGGTACAAGGCTAAAACATTACGTAATTATTTTTATTATTGACGTTTGTCGATGTTTTAAACAAAATTTAAATTACATTTAATTTCAGTTGTTTTTATAATTATCTAAATAGATTTATTTTTGTTCTAACTTTACAAAATATAACTGCAATAATTATTTATTTTTTATAGATATGATGAGAAAAATGGTTGACAAAATAAACCAAAGTATTTGGGTTCTTTATTTAGTCTGTATTCTCTTGTCATTTTGCTTTAGATTTAAGATTTTGAATTGATCGTTTTACTAAATAAAATAGAATTTGAAAAATCAGAGGCGTACCGTTTTTTCTATCCACACATTCAATATCGTGCCTACGTGGACGTCACTGGTGGATGTAGAAAATTAATTTTTGCCTCAAAAAAAGTATTTCCACGCAAGGTGAAAAAACATTTTTTGTTTTTTATTTTTTTTAACCAAATTTTCTTCAAAATTAATGGGACTTTTAAAAATAATTAAAATTAAAAAATCAGTGGCGCACCATTTTTTTTCTTGAAAAATATTCAGTTCAAACTACGTACGGACGTCACTGGTGAAAAATAGAAAAGCTTTTACGTCAAAAAATGCTCCTTAGTACAAAATTTCATAAAAATATCTGGAATGATAAGAAAAATATGATAAAAAAGTTATTTTTTTCTTAAATCTGTAGTTCAAAAATTAAAAGATTTAAAAATAATAAATTAAAATTACCCAAAGATTCACACCCTTAAATATCGACACTCAATTAATAAGCACCCTGTATACTTAAATATTAAGAATGGGATACAAAACAATTGAAGATTTTCTGATTAAAAATAAGACAAATAAAACATGTTTAGGTAAAATAGTCCTCGTTTTCGAAATGCATAAGACGTTGAAAATTCTTAAAAATGCAATATTTTTTAATTGCCTACTCTAGATTCGGCAAACTTTTTTATGTCATAAAAAACACCTAGATCTTGAGAAAATTAATACCTGTAATTCTGTAATTCAAAATAAAATTACTTGCAAATCGTCAGAAGGCTAGGCGATCCCAATAGTGTGGAAATTTTTCACTATTTTCGTTTTCAATGAATATATATAGATAAATGTTTCGAGGTAGATGTATGTGGAAAATGTATATATTTAGTTTATCCTCTAAACATTTATAGATGTGCTGCAATAGGTTGTACAAAATAACCGGAAATAGCCTATAATAACTAGATAGGAAAGTCATGTGTTGGACACATCAGATTTTTTTACCAATGATAAGCGCTACGGGTAGGTTTTCTACCACTGCCGCTGAGACTGTATAGCCCAGAATATTTATTGTGGTTTGCACGAACATACAGTTCCCTGGTTTCAGAGTAAAATTTGCATCCCTTAGTCTTTGGAAGACTTTTTCCAAAGGGTACTAGTATGTCGATTCCTACTCTCTCAAAAGGGGTACCAACTGCTATCGGTTGCAAGAGTCCTAGTGGTTTTCTTATTTCTTGTCCCTTTCTAGCTTGGCAGTCTCTGCACCCTTTGACATACTTTTCTACATCTTTTTGTAGTTTGGGCCAGTAATATCTGGCTTTGATTTTTGCCAGGGTTTTTGCGATCCCTAAATGTCCTGCTGTGGGTTCATTATATGATGTGAAAACAGAATTTCTGCTACCCAATGTTCTAGGATAACAAGTAGATCCTGTAGTCCCTCTGCATTATTGATTTTATACAAAATATTGTCAATAAGTCTAAAGTTTTTAGCCCTTTGACTTAAACCAATGGACGCTGTAGTCGGGTAGAGTAGGGCGTTTTTTAGCTGCACAAGGTCATTGCCTTTATGTTGTTCTTTTTCAATGTCTTGTGTCTGTAAGAGAAATGTAGGGACATCGTTGCTCTCTTCTGTGTCTTCGTTTGTTGCTTGTAATACTGGATTCCTAGAAAGACAGTCTGCATCCTTATTCAAGCTTCCACTTTAATGCTTTATGATATAGTCATATTCCGATAGAAGGAGCTCTCTTGCTGTCTGCAAAGGATGTACGGGATAGTAGTTTGGACTACCACCAAGACATAGAAAGTACTCTTTTTGAAGAGTTTGAGAGTACATTACTACCAAAACTAAATGAAAATAGCGTAATAGTTTTAGATAATGCTCCGTACCATTTTTTAACACGATATCCGATTTCAATGATTCTCATTTAGTTAGAAAGGAGGTATTTTAAGGGTGGTTCATTATAAATTTGGTCAAGATGTGGTGATGACATCTGCGCGATTTTGAAGTCGGTTTTTTAAAATTACTTTTAATACTTGTTTCATAAGGATGTTAAAATTTCGAAAATTTTATATTTTTTTAAATAAAAACAAACAAAAATACCTATATGACAGGCGCTATTATAAAAAGTGAGGTTTGCTTGTGATTACTAGGTAACAATTTGAGCAAAAATATATAGAGTAAAACTATATATAAAAATATTTGTTCTGACACCGATTATATGTAGTATAATGTATGTCCCTTTGTTTAAAATAATACATACCAGCTCCATTCGAGATTCCGACTTAATGTCAATGTTATCACTGTTTCTAATACCATAAAAAGCAAAGGAACACTAAGGTACCAGTACCATTTGTCATCTTTCATGTAAGCAACTTGTCCAATTGTTATCAAAGAATGTATTATGAACACTACACGAATAAGAATTGCACGAAACACTCTGTATTTCCCCATTATTATTAAATATAATTTTAAAAAATCGAACCACACACGATAAATTGTTTATATTTTTTTACATTTTTTATTTTAAATTTTTCGTTTAATCACATTTTGTATCTGGATAGGTACTGATGACAAAGTATTACAATATTTGCTCAACGTTAACTATTTTATCTTAACTGTAATCCGTCTGTAAATGTGTGAATAATGTATAATATCTTAACCTTAATCAAGTTTCCCTTTAAAATTTTTATCAGGAAATTATAAATTTCATAAATGATAGATACAATAAATCATTTTAATGAAATATACGAGTAGTGTAAGATTATAAAAAATGTATCTACACTTGAGATATGAGATTTTGCAATTTTGTGAAGAAGAGAGAGCTGAGATTCATTCAACATTGGAGTGGTGGCTCAGTCTAACCCTGAAATATTTTGAAATTTTAGCATTTTTGTAGCGAGCTGTCTAGTGATGCTGTTCACAAACAATTTTTGCACACAAAAATCATTAGAAGAAAGGGACTGAGCCTAAATTGAAATTAAAGGTTAATGGAAAGATTTTAGAGTATTATTCTGAAATTATCATTCACTATTATTAAATGAATGGCAGCTTTGTGCACCCTACATTTAAAACCAGATGAGATGGTTTCTTACCAGCATTAAACACGGGCGCATCCGAATTCTGCCACAAATTAAAATTTTACCTGAATTTTAACAACTTAGGGATTAGTGAATAGTCCGAACTCTGCCATGACCATTAAGAGGCATTAACGATTTAAATATTTTTTCATACCTAAAGACCTTTCAGAAGAGGTACAAAAATTAAATAAGTAATTATTAATATATTTTCTCAAAAACAAAATTGATGGAATTCTTGGAATATTTTGACGACTGCTCGGTTTTAATATTTAGGGAAATATTTAGAAGGGGAAATAGGTTACTTGTTCCTTAATAAAGGTTTTATGAAACAGTTTATTATCTACTATAGTTGGGTTAAAATGAATAACAGTGCGTCTACCATGTTTAGTGAAAGGAAATAAATTATTTGTGTTAAATAATTTTAAGTTTTCCAAAGCTAATACTAGCAAATGTGGAAAGATTCGATGGAAATTCTGTAACGCTAAATGTACAGCTAGAGTGTACTCCCACGTTTCCAATGAAGACGTAATAATAGAGGTCAAAGCAGAACACAATCATGGTGTTGCAATGAATCTTGCAGGAAATGATAAAACGTTCAAAATAAGACCTCTAATAACGATGCTAAATAAAAACTTCCAACAGTGGGGAATTTTCCACCTTGATAGACGAGGCAATGGTGAAGTACTTCGGACACCATTCCCCAAAGCAGTTCATTAGAGGAAAACCAGTGAGATTTGGTCATAAAGAATGGATGCTTTGCAGCTCAACTGGCTATTGTTACAATTTTGAAGTTTACTGGGGTGCAAAACCATCCAGCGTTTCAACTGAGAACCAAAGGAAGTCTACATTACCTCTTGGATCTAAAGTTGTATTAGAACTTTTAGAATGTGTTGATCTACCATCAGATCACGCCGTATTTTTAGACAACTATTTTACAAGCCATAGTTTATTGAAAATGCTACGAGAGAAAGGATTTAGAGCAGGGAGAATAGGACAAAAAAATGCCACTTTGCCACCTAAAAACTATATGAACAAAAAAGAACGAGGACATTTTCGATATATGTTCGACACAACTAACTCTCTACTATTTGTCAAATGGAAAGATAATAAATAATATCGTCACCATGGCAACTAGGTTACTTGAAATTTTTTTGTAATTTTTTAATATTAATTTCTCAATAAGTTCCACGGTTTACTATATATATTTTATTGTATAAAACAAAATCTAAATATTTCAAAAACCTTATTTTTAGTTATTTTCTACTCCATCTAATCAATGAATAATAGTATAATTCGAGAATTGTTGTTGAGGACTTACTTTCTCGTGAGGCACTGTACAAATACTCACATTTAAAAAAATAATTCTCAAAAATTTGCAAGGTAAGGTATAGTTAAAAGTTCAGTATTAGATAAATAAGGACTTCAACTATTAGAAAAAAATTAATTTTAGTCATAATCTAATAACTTTTTTTTTAACATTTGATGCGAGAGGTGTGGCGAAAGGACCTCCTTAACTGTGTATTGCAATTTTGTATTCTTGTGGTTTTTTATACTAATTTTATATTTATTAATTTACACATTTACACACCCTATATATCGAAAACCAAGGTTTTTCGAGACGAATGTTTATATACTTGCAAAAAAGCAAGACCAAGACCAAGCCTGCAAGATCAAGACCAGCCTCGCTCATCACTACACACGCGTGCGAATAAGAATCTACTTTTCACCCGTGTGTAAATATCTACTTTCCGCATCAGGTGTCAAATATGTCAAACGCGTAATTTCTGTTTTGATCTATGTAACGTCCATATTAATAGTAAAATAGATTTGATAATTAAATAGTGAATACTGATTGTTATACCAAGATTCTAGATATTTATTTTTAATAAATTATTAAATTAATTTTAAATTAGATAATATATCTGACAAGCTTGTTAGTTCAGTTCATAGAGCGTTCAAATGTATCAACTTTGCATGTTTCGGCCACATCGCGACGCGGGTTCAATCCCCTCCGAATAAAGCATTTTTTTTTTTATTTTTAAAAAATATGAAAATTGAAAAATTACAACTATTGTTATTTATTTATTTTAAATAGGTACATTTTATCTAATATAACATCTACAGTTAATCTTTTCGCTATTTATTTTACACCATTTTGATTAATTTTCAGAAAAAAATTGTGAGTAGTTAAGTAGGTAATCATTTTTAATAATAAAAATGTATCTTATTCACGGTTGTTTATATTATTATTTGTCTGATCATCAAAGGCCGATAAAGTATTTTGCGACCGCTCACTTGATTAAGTTTTCTGCCCAGAAAACAACGTTTTTAACAGGATTTTTTTTTTAAAAGAAGTCAATAAAACTCCCGTATTACGTGCTAATAGTTAACACCATTTCTAGTTAGAAAAAAAAAGGTTCATATTCATTACAAGTCATACATTTATTTTTCTTCCATCCGGTGGTTCAAAACACTTTATTTGAAGCAAAAAAAGTAAGATTGAGTTATATATTGTAAACATAATAGACTCTTTTATGATATAAATAGATTATATTTGATTAATAATCATTTTTACTTCATAAATAGGAGTAAAACCTTATTATTGTTGTTATTTGAGGTAGCTTTAGTATAGGCTTTAGTCCAGAGTTGTCTTAGATATCCATTTGAGTGTATTTTCACTTAATACAATTTTTAAAAATAAAAGATCCGTTTTGGAATTTATAACTTTGTAAATAATTTTTTAGGATCTCCTTACATTTGTTTACGATTTTTTGTTACGTTCTATTTCCAAAAAGCATAGGTATAAGAATGTATGTACTTTTTACTTACCATTTCCATTCCTGGTTCAGCTTAATAGTTAATGTAAAAATCCCTTCAAAAAACAGCAACAAAATCGGCGAAGTTAAATACCAATAGAAATCATTATGTTTGAAAATAGTCACTTGCCAAATAGCGAGCAATCCATGCGAAGAAAACACCAATCGCGTTATGATACCCTTGATGGTCGCAATAATTTTTGCCATTTTTCGTATAGTGTGCAATCGAATTAAAGAGCGAACTCGACCGTTGCATTTTATCTTTAGAACCCTTAGCGCAACTTAAAAAATAATACCACAGGCGGACTGGTTAGGGTTTGAAATGCGCGATGAACTCGAACGCAAATCAGCTAAATATTATTTAAAAAAAAAATGAAGAAGAGGAAATGCATAGCAAATTACAAGAATGAATTGATTAGAATCATTCAACAAAATTCTAAAAATCTATGAAACATTTTTTACAGACGTGGCTCAATGTACGGTGTGTCTGATTAATGAGTATCTCAGAAACTAATTAATCCTATAGCTTCGAAATAATTTTATTTAAGTTAATTTAGACGTACTAATATTAAGTACAGTACTATTAATAATTGTATAAGGACATTTGACAAACTGTTCGATTTACTAAATTCTCGAAATCCCTTTAGATTTCAATGGAAAATGCCTTTTCTCAAAAAACGGAGGCTTTATGGATGCCTGGAATAAAAGCTGCAATAGGTAATATAAAGAAACTCAAAACTTTAGACCAGTATTTCCCAAAGTGGTCCAGGTGGACCCCCAGGGGTCCATGGGAGACTCGACGGGGATCTACGTTGGGCGTAATAAAAAATGGGGGTCCACAATCGTAAGCAAGGGTGCATGAAAATTAATTTGGTTTCGATAGTGAAACAATATACAATTAATTACTCATTTTTACATGTAAAAAACTTCGTTTTAGTTACTAAAATGTTGACTTGACTTCTCTTCAATATAGGCAGATGATATTTTTAAGAAGCTCAGCGACTGTTACTTGTAAAAACTTGCATATTCCATATTCAATACAACGCGTCGAGACTTATCGTTGCCGCGCCGGCCGCCGTCCCGTCCGTAACGATTGTTCAGACGTGCAAATTAATACGACTTGTGGTGTATGTGCTTGTAATCTTGCATGAACGTGTTTAATTCTTCACCAATATAAATACGAATGTCAAGGATAATCGTTACTCTGTGAATCAGATCTTCTTTTATATCATTTGCCATTGCATGTATACGTCTTCCAAGTAACAGTAATTCCTCTCCTATAGTATGAGCCTTTCCACATTTAGCAAACAATTCTGATACTTGAAATTAAGCTCTTAACGCATTTTATTTTATACCAGCATCAGCTAACATATTCTTAGCGATTGTTTGTGTAGTTTGAAGATGTTTTTGAGTATGAAAAAATCAATTGGTTTATTTATGTGTTCTTTATGTGTGCGCCTCAATTTTGATGGTTTCAAAGCTTCATTTGATAGATTACACATTGTGGTTTTGAATTATTGACTGGCCCAATAACTGAAAATTCATGTGACAAAAATTCATCTGAATATTTTGCAGTACTTTCTTCCTTTACACCACCACCACCACCGAGATTTTGTTTCTGATTTGAACATGAAGGATCCTTATTTGTTCCTGTACTATCAGAATTAAGTCGTTTTAAATAGCGATCCATCTTATTCACAATTGCATTTAGTCAAGGGTGAGATTACAGAACGTCTGCAACTTTGCAGATCTGCAAATATGGCGGCAACTTTGAAAATCTGCAAATATGACCGACTTACACATGCAAGTATCAAGTTTTCGTATTCAAAATTTGGGTTTAGTGTTGTTGGGTGTAATAAACCACAATAAATATTGCGAATTTGCAGATATTTTTTGGAATACTTGCATTTGTAAGTCCGCCATATTTGCAGATTTGCAAAGTTGCAGATCTGCAAAGTTACAGACGTTCTGTAATCTCACTCCAAATCTGAAATACAACATGAACATGTACTCTTTTAATATTTAATTTTTGAAAAATCAAGATTTTCAAATGTCAAGACGAAAGTGCACAAAAAAGTACTAAGGAAAGCTTAATCAAGTTTATTATAAAATATTCCGTGTTTAGTTTCAATTTTCTCCAAACCCACAAGCGATAGGTATTGGAAAACTGTATTAAGCTTTATGTAATAATTTTTTTTTGAAATTTTGTTAGGTCCAGTTTACATTATGGGTTATTGCGGTCCACACTTATTCGTATGATTCTATTTCTCTCTATTCAATCATAAAAAAAGAAAATTTAAATTCTATTACGAATTTTTATGGTTTTAATTTTGTTTAATTAAATTTTTAATATTTTCGAAATTATTTTTAAATGTGTTAGTCCTATCCTGTACACTTCAATATGCAATCAATGCGCAAGAGCGTAGGTCGATTTTGATCAATGACATATATAGTTTAAAGTTTAAATAGACTGCTTATCCATACGTAAATAAAACGATGAAAAGTGGGTCGAACTGGGAGATGTTTTCTCTTTGTCTAGTGCATGCAATGTTTGTGTTTTGTCTCAATTTTGAGTGCTCACTGGTAAACAAACCTTTCACAGGACCGGTTTTAAAGAAAATTTAGTCTAGTTGAGATTTTGTTCTTATTGTCATTACTCAGTCGGACATTTTGTTGAATTTTTTATTTTATTTAGTTTTAATTATACTTATGTTCTGTTTTAAGTTTTTTAATTATTTGAGTATAAAAACTTGTTTTGTTTTTAAATTTAAATAGTGAATTGCTCTATAAAGGTTTGTAAGACCAGCTACAGAAATATAAAAAGTAACATTTCATTTTTCACGCAAGTATCAATACAAGTAGGTACAAGGTAAATACGTTACGTTTATAATAATTTTACGAATTATAATTAATTATAATAATAATATTAATAATAAAGTATTTATTGTAAATACAATTACATAAATACTATTATATTCAAAGGCCCGAGTTAGAGCTATCTGGGCTTTACAAGTACATTTTAAAAGTTAGTTAGATACAGAGAAGTATCGTATAATAAAAACTCAATATAAATAGAAGAAAAACGGACATAAGTACCAATACAGAGAGACAAACACTTTTATTCTTTGATAGGTTCTTTCTATGTGAATTCTAGCTCTGGCAATTTTGGCATTAAGTAAAGCCTCTTGATGGCTGAACTGATTTTTTTTATTGAGGAAAGGAGGCTGTATAATTTGTATACCTTCAGCTTCTGTTATGTTTCCAATAAGAAAACCTTTGTTAAACATTTTACTATCGAGAAATGATTCACACACTTCAAGTATTGAACTTTGTTAAAAAATGTCTATTTCTGAAGTTTACCACCATATGCTTCACTTTTGTAAGTAATGAGACCAGTAGGTGACACTCCAGTCAATAGTTTAATAGTATGCCTCTTTTTGTAGTCAGAGTAATTTTTTAGCCTATAACAAAGACATTTGGCTTGCTGTATTGGGATTTCGGTACAATCAAGTAGTAGTACTCTTACTTACATAGAGGCACATTATTTAATATTTAATATACCATACTAAAAACTTCTACCAGTTTTATTAAAAACTGTTAAAAAATTTAACGATAAAAAGTTTCATTCACTCCAAATAAAATGAATAAGACATTATATCTTGCATATCAGTTTTCAACTTCATAAAAGTAAATATAACTTGATCCTTTACAGACATAACTGATCTCCTTTTTCCTATTCTTTAGAAACAACTCTGCTACTAATTCCACAATGGTGGCTAATAACTGGAAGGATTGCAATCCTATTAAAGTAGATAGTTCTTTAGCACTAACAATTCTGTTTGAAAACGGATCAACTAAATCACCACTCTTCACTTGTGTTGAACAATCGATCCCAATTTTCTGCTTTTAAACAAAGTTTTGTAAATTAAGCAAAGCTATTCAGCAGCACACAAATCTTCATTATCTGCTTCAGTAGTAGATATATGTTCATTAACTGCAAAAACACATTAAACATAATAATAATAATAATTAACCAAACATGTACTATGGCAACATATCATTATTAAAGACAGTAGCCATAATTCTTGTTTTAGCTGGATTACTTTTCTTTTTATTAATAGTCTTATATATAACTTACATCGACTAAGCTTAGTTGTACGTTCTTTTTGTTATTGTAAGTCAGAATCTTTATTTCCCTCTTACCGATGCTAAGGTACACGGATCTTGACGTCAACTAAGATTGCACTTTGTACCTAGTCCATTTTACTATGATGTTGATCAGATTTCCACTGGTGGAATTTTATTATTATTCATCAAATCATTCACATTCACCGCCAAAATAATCCTTAATTGTCTAAAGGGACAAACTTTAGAATGTGAAAAAGCTACTAACCTTAAATCTTTAAAAAACTCATTCAATTTTTGCATAATATCTGCTTTTATAATGCGAAATAAATTTTAAAAGAATAATCAAGTGTCCGAATAGTGCCACTATACAGTAGTCATGGTCTAAAGTTAGTTATATACACATGAGTGTAAAATTGTTTATATCTATGTTCAAAATTGGTTAGATCTCTTAAAATGTTTTGAAAATTGGGAAACTGGACGTTACGACTCAAAATCCTTTTTTAAAATACCTAACGCCAAGCTCCTGTCTTAAAATAAACATACATATATATTTTTTTTTAATTCAATTCCTACTTTGATGAAATATGTGTTTTAAACTCATTTGGGCCAGACCGATTCTGCCTGGTGAGCACTCGGCAAGCCAAGCAATATGACCCGCTTTTCGTCGTCTTGTTTATATATGGATGAGCAGTCTATTAATCTATTTGATTTTGAAATGTCAGTTTAAAGTTAAAAGCCTCCTAAAAAACTTAGTTCCTGTCCCGCTCCGACCCCCCGATTTTCCGAACACCCCTTAATGTGACACTTGTGACAGTGACATTAATTAAACTAACCTCGAAATATGATTTGAATTCAATATTCAACACATCACAATAAATAAATATTACACATTTAATATTTGTAAATTATATACGACTATGTTATTGTTAATTTTTAACTTAATTGTTTACAATTACAAATTAAGTAAGCAAATTTAAATAGGTAAGTACAAGTATTGCCAATCCTTAATGCAGTTTTCAAAGGTCAATATAAATACAATGTTTTAGAAATATGGAAACAACTACTGCAGGATGGATTGGCCTAATTGTAGTTCTGTTTTTAACTAGTTTTGGTTTATCGTGGCTACTAATTATAATAATAAGTTTGTTACTGTTTTTAATAGGGTAAGTTCAAACTAGCTATAAGTCAATCTGTGATAAATATTTTGATAAAATATTCCACAAAAGTACTATATAATTCTAGTCAACGTTTCAGTAGAGCAAATTGAATGTTATTTGAGCACTTTTTATAATTACATGCATTTAGATTTGCACGAGTTGTTATATATCGATATAGTGCAGTTTCTCTCTGAGGCACATATTAACTACATATATTATTTGAATTACTCATTTTTAGGCTGATATCACTACTATATGTTCAACAAGGCAAAATAGAAAACTTTTATTTAAAATGTGCCGGCAATCCTCTATCTTCTAGTAATTTTAGAGAAGGTGGTTTAGAACAGATTGTTAAACAGTTGGAGAGTCCAAAAAAATTACAAAAACAAGATCATAGGGTTACTGGCAGTGAATTAATCGATAGTTCTTTGCAAGAAATATTAGGTTACATTATAAGAGATTATGTTTCAACTTGGTACAACATAATTACAAGGGATTCTGAGTTCACAAATATCACTGTGAGGCGTACAGCACAGACGTTTGCTATCAATATTTCTAACAGGTAATTATTAATGTTTTCAACATTTTAAAAGTTTTATTAAGTTTATCATTCAGTTTTTATCTTGGTCACTATTATCCATTTTCTTCTGCAGATAGTTTATATAGTTACTTAACAATTAGGGAAAATTTTGTTTGTATTGAATGTTTAATGTATCCTGCTACCTCTCGAGGAACATTTATGGAAGTTTTAGGTACTATTTCAATGATAAATGTATATTTATTTGTTGAGATCTACAGATCCATTAAATTGAGGAATAAAATTAAACACTGTTTATTTTTACCCAATTTAAAACATATAGAACAAATTTTAAAATAATTCAAAATTGTACTTCTTTAAATTACTGAAATAGTAATTGGTAAATTTGTATACTTTAACTAATCAATAAATGTTAAATACTCAACCATGTTTATGAAAATGTATTTGTTATCAAACATATTTATTTTTAAATCAGTAAATTATCTTTATTGTAAAGTTAATTAATTTTTTTATAGCTTTTGATATACAAAAATATATATACAAGGTAGCGAAAAAGTGTGACAGGAATGTAATTATAATTATGAATTTGTATGGTGATTAATGGGACTGTATAACATTATTATTGCTTTTTTCTAGCAACAAGGTATTTTAGGATGATGAATAGGACTGTATTACATTAGTAATGTGGTAGCTTTTTAGTATTCTTGAAAAGAGTGAAAAATAAGCTTTTCTTTTATATATTAAGGTAAACATACCAGCATACCAGCAGTCGACACCTTAAGAAAAATATATAGGTAAATTTACAATTAATTTCATAAATTTGCCTCTGTATTTTGTTATCAACTTCAGATAGAACACCTTAGGTGTGGTCTATGTAAACATTCATATTAAAATGATAGATTGTTTTAATTTTCTTTTTGGTAATTTTTTTTTGATTTCATGGATTTGCTCCAAAGATTGACAGGTGCCGATTAGCTAGTAATTGACATAATTTGCTCCGCTAGTTGACATCCTACTTAGTGAGGTTAATAAAACAAACAATTCCGGATTAATTAATTTATTCATTAAGAAATTACACCTATAGCTAATCCTTTCACCCTTCAACATTAATTTAGGCTGCTCCAATTTTTTTAACACTTGACAAAAATTTATTTTACTGATGTCCTATTCAACTGCTATACATTCTTTGCGAGGGTTATGAAAACGCCTCCAAAGTTTCCTGAATATTTTTCCTTGTATGCATAAAATTGATAGGTAATTTATTATAGGTTTTCTGCAAGACAAATATGTTTTATTTTATTCAAAGTTATCAAACAAAAAAAAATAATATGAAAATCGGTGATTTATACTGTTAGGATTTTCTACCACCATTGACTTATACTCTTAATCTCGTTTGATTTTCATAATATATCTCTGGACCTTAGAGCCAAAGAGTATTAAGTCCATTTCACAAAATTTTACAGGAGAGCTTGTTAAAACTTTTGACTGCCTGTATTTTTATTTGGACTTAATATTGGTTTTAAAAATATATCTGGAAAACTAAAAATAATAGGACCTTATACTTAGGAGAAATATTTCTTTTTATTGAGAAAAAATTTAAAATAGGGTTTCCAAAATTATTTAAAAAATCATATCTTAAGAACGGGTGGAGCGATTTTATTGAAACTTAGATCGAGGTTGTAAACCCACGGGAGGCTTGTAAAAAAAATTCCACGTCAAAATCTGTTTAGCGATTTCCATGGCAACCGTGAAAATGCACCGAAAATTGTGTTGTCCTACGGCGCCACTCTCAGCCAATTGGGAGCCCTTGGGAAGGGTGATTGTGTTAGTGGTATATCCAAGGTGCACCGAAAAAATATGAGAATTGTCTCCTGTCAACTGTCACTTTTTTATGACGTTTTGAAAATTTCTTTTTGGTTTTTCGACGATTTATTATAAACGAATAATTTTTTAAATATTTTTCTTAAACACCCTTTGCCCTTCTCTAACTCACCACGCACACAGAAAATTCGTCGGGCGCCATTTTTTTTCGGCCAAATTTCCGGGCGACTTTAAAAAATCGTAGCGTTCGAACGGCTGAAGCGATAAAATTTGGCTCGAAGATGTAGACCCATGAGACGCTTCTAAAAAAAAATCTGTGTCAAAATCCGTTCGGTGGTTTCCATGGCAACCGCAAAAAAACTAAAAATCTTGAAAAATCGTGTTTTTCGACCTACGGTTCCCCCCTCAGCCAATTGGGTGCACTTTGGATGGGCGATTGTGTTAGTGGCAGATGCACTAGATATCCAAGGTGGCCCGAATCGGTACTAAATTTGACACCTGTCAACTGTCACTTTTTTATGAGTAACCACAAAATTGAAAATGAAAAAAGGTGGACTTAATACTGTTTGGCTCTTATTAACTATATTTTTTATATAAAAATAAACAGGTTTGAATTATTTTCTATTAAAAATATGAACAAAAGTTATAGGAGATAGCTACTTTAAGCTGAAATTCGAAAACAAAATTTTATTCTAGCTCTTCATCTTCTTCTTCCACTAGGTCGGCCAATGTGCTTTTGGCATTGTTAGTAGAAGAGCCAAGATATCTTTCTTTTTTTCATTTGAAATTAAAAATGAAGATGTATAGCAAGGTAGTGGATTTAAGGGTGTATATCCTTAATTTTAAAATAAAATGTGTTGGTGTACTGTCTAAATTTTTCTTCGTCAGGATCATCGGTTCGTTTCCGAATAAGTTTAGGCTCAGTTGATTGAACTAAATTAGCAACGAATTTCGTTCTTTCATCTCGACTTCCAAGGCTCCAATATTCTTTAAAAATAACTTCCTGCCTCTCAGGGGAGATACGTTCCATGCACTTGGCGCGGAAAACTGTCAAAGCTGTCATTGCCCTTGCCGGTTTTACTTTTCCGTCAAGAGTTTCATAGCTCTTCCCAGCATTTCGATTTTTATATTTTTCTATTCTTCTTCTTTGGAAAATTTTCTGTCAGAAGGTGTAGTTTGGATTACATTTTGTTCTAAATATGGTTCCTTCGATTTATTTCGTATTTTAGAGCTAGAACTCCGTGTTTGATGGAAAACTTCTTCATCAGAGGAAATACTCTCCTGTTCAGGGTTATAATCTGAAAAAAATAGACAGTTAGGATACTTACATTTTCTGAGCCTCAATTATTTATAAAAATAAATGCTTACCTTCGTCAGTATCTTGATCAAAACTTTCAGCTATTTCCATGTCTTGTACTAGTTGAGTGTGTTGGTCGTCATCATAGACAGTACTCTGTTGATGGTCCAAGTCCGTAAAAGATACAAACAATTTAACGTTTTAAGTTGGAAAAAATAGACAGTTAGGATACTTGTTGCATTTTTTGAGCCTCTTTTGCCTATAGAGATAAATGCTTACCTTCGTCAGTTTCTTGACCAATACTTTTAGCTATTTCCATGTCTTGTACTAGTTGATTGTGTTGGACTTCATCATAGACAGTACTCTGTTGATGGTCCAAATCTGTAAAATATACAGTTTCGCGTTTTAAGCTACATATTATTATTTAGTGTTAATGTTTGGTCAATTTTTCGTCTGTATGTGTCCCAGTTCGTTGTTTTGTAATCAGCGTATTGTTTTTGTATTCTGTTGATTTTTTGTGTGGTTCTTATTTTCAAGTACACTGGATCGTGGTCCTACAACCATGAAGTCTTCTGTTTCTTTTGATTGAATACAGTTCGTGGTGTCAGATTATTGAGTTTTTAAACATAGTAATGGATTTGGGTTTAGTGTTGTTGGGGGTAATAAATCACAATAAATATTGCGAATTTGCAGATCATTTTTGGAATACGTAAGTCCGCCATATTTGCAGATCTGTAAAGTTGCAGACGTTCTGTAATCTCACCCTAAAGCATTATCTTTATTTAAAGGGTCAAGGAAGTTGATTGGATACCTTATCTGACACAGAAGTTTGTAGACGATGCAGCATCACATTTGAGATTATTCAAACAGGCTAGAACGAAAATGAAACTACAGGAGGTAGCAAAAGAACAAAAAAGCTCACCTCAAAGAGATAAAACTTCGCCGAAGAAAAGTGTTCATAAAAGAAATAAAAGTGAAACAGATGTTGGTTGGTACAGTGGTAGATCAGGTGAACTAAAGAAAGGTAGTACAACAATTTACTCTTTTTTATTATTTATTCAGTTTAGTTAAAAATACAAACAGAAATGGCTCAGAATAAATTTATTTATGTTTATTTAATAAATGTACAGTGTGGTATATCAATTTTCAGCTATTATTGCCTATCTTTATAATAAAGAGTGATCCACAAAAAATGTTTCTAAAGTAGACCTTGAAATATTTGACACAAGAGGGAAGAATTCTTATTTTTGTGTGTCAGATTTGATTTAATTTATTACGCCGATCAGATGTATTAAAATTTTCATTTTAACTACAAATAAGCATTGAAGGATGAGGTATAAATAAAATGTCTACCTCTTGATCCTCTACTACGTTCTGCACATTAAATTATTGCACTTCTTTCTTCTATATTTTGCCATATTTAGATATGGGTTGTTTGTTGGTTTCAAAACAAATACAATTTTATAAATAGTGATGTAACTTAGAACCACCTTGTTGGTATCCGGTATGAAGGTTTTATGATTAAAAAAAACAGTACCTCTTTTGCTAAAAAAATATATTGAAACATTTATTTGGGATTAACGAATCTACATAGAAAAATGTTTTATCTATCACCTTGTAAACTTTATTATCGGGGCCCAGTGAATATTTGAGTAGTAGCAATACGTTTGCTGTTAGATTTCAATTTTTTAAGCCTAATTGTTTCAATTTTACTAAGTTTATAAAATAAACAACAAACCATATAAAATGAAAGTTAAAATGCTTGTAAAAAAGATCGCATTTCTATTTATTTTAGATTCCGATCGACTTATAGGGAACTCAAAATTTTATTTAAATGATGTTAAAAAAGAATTAACTTTAGAAGACCATTTTTTTGAATTAGAATGCCAAATGGAAAATAAAATGGTTTCAAGGGATTTTATTTGCAGGAATGTGGAAAAAGAAAAAGGTAGAATATTTTTTCATCATTCAAAACAATTTGTTATATATTTTTATATAATTGCAGATTTTTTATGCGAGCTGGTCGAAATTTTGTTATATGTTTTACTACCTGGTGAAGATTTCCAATGTAAACCACTACGCTATTTGTTAAGGGAAATATTTGTAAATGGAGTGATTTTACCTCTGTTTAATTTGGTTTCTGATCCGGATTATATTAATCAAGCCATGCTTTGGCTGGTACGTATATACAAAAGGGTGTAAGGGTTAATGTTTAACAAATTTTAATGGTTAATAATAGCTGATATCGAAACTAAAAAAAAAACAAAAAAAAAATAAAAAACAATAAAAAACAATAAAAAACAATAAAAAACAATAAAAAACAATAAAAAAACAATAAAAAAAACAATAAAAAACAATAAAAAAAACAATAAAAAACAATAAAAAACAATAAAAAACAATAAAAAACAATAAAAAACAATAAAAAACAATAAAAAACAATAAAAAACAATAAAAAAACAATAAAAAACAATAAAAAAACAATAAAAAACAATAAAAAACAATAAAAGCAATAAAAAACAATAAAAAACAATAAAAAAACAATAAAAAAACAATAAAAAACAATAAAAAACAATAAAAAAACAATAAAAAAACAATAGAAAACAATAAAAAAACAATAAAAAACAATAAAAAAAAAAACAATAAAAAAACAATAAAAAAACAAATAACAATAAAAAACAATAAAAAAACAAAAAAAAAACAATAAAAACAATAAAAAACAATAAAAAAACAATAAAAAAACAATAAAAAAACAATAAAAAACAATAAAAAAAACAATAAAAAAACGATAAAAAAAATAATAAAAAAACAATAAAAAAAACAATAAAAAACCATTAAAAAACAAAAAAAAATCAAAAACTCAATATTTTTTGAGAAAAGAATAGTTGTAAGACATTTTTTATAAACTAGCAACTCTGATATTCGTTTCCTGTTCGTTCTTATGCTAACTCTCTATAGTTTTTTTCATGCACTTGTGTAAGGCGTATTGGAAAACGTTTAATGGCCGACACGATATATGTTTTGACCACAGTTTACTAATATCATCGTAGTTGAACTAGTTGCGATGTTGCCAGCTTTATTGAGAAGTTCTGAATCGTTTTTCGCGTTTTTCTCGAATACTATAGAGATTTGGACCAATTTGTTAAGAGACTGAATGTCTAAAATATTATTTGGACGATACAAGAGATCAGTAGGATGACAAAAAGGAAGTTGAAAAGCTTTTCTGTAGAATTTGCAAGGGTTTTAGTTTGTTTTGGGAAATTTTGCTCCAAATAAGAGTTAAATATGATCGATGTGAATGAATTAGTGAATGATACAGAGTCTTCTTTAAGTATCCCAATAAGTACACCTCCACCTTCGTTAAAGAAGTCTGTTCAAAATTACGATCCATCCTGTATACGAGGTCTGATCAAAAAATAACCATTATTTTCAATTTTTTTTCAAAAAGTATTTATTTACTCATCAATAACTATCATGTCCCCTTCAAAGTAATCCCCCTCAGATATAATACACTTATGCCAGCGTTTTTTCCAATCCTCGAAACACTTCTGAAACGCGCTTTCCTTTCATCGGTGTCTTCAGTTTTGGGAAGAGGAAAAAGTCAGCGGGGGCCAAGTCCGGTGAGGCATGATAACGGTTTTGTTTTTGGCCAAAAACTCACGCACAAGCATCGGTGTGTGAGCTGGTGCGTTATCATGGTGCAAAATCCATCATTGTTTTTTCCACAATTCTGTGCGTTTCTGACGAATTGCTTCGCGAAAACGGCGCATAACTTCAAGGTAGTATTCTTTATTGACCGTACGACCTTGTGGCAAGAATTCATGATGCACCGCGCCATTGCAGTCGAAGAAAACCTTCACATTTGACCGAACTTGACGTGCTTTTTTCGGTCTTGGCTCTTCTGGACGCTTCCATTGGGATGATTGGGCTTTGGTTTCAATGTCATAGCCATACACCCATGATTCGTCACCAGTTATGACCTTTTTGAGGAAATCTGGATCGTCGTTGACGATGTTCAACAGCTCCTGAGCGATGTCCATGCGACGTTGTTTTTGCTCAAAATTTAGCAATTTTGGAACAATCTTCGCTGCCGCACGTTTCATGCCTAAAACATGCGTAAAAATTGCTTGGCATGAGCCAAACGATGTGCCAACATCATCAGTAACCTCTCTGATAGTGATTTGACGATTATCCAAAATCATTTTCTTCACTGCTTCAATGTTTTCATCGGTTGTTGACGTACTCTTGGTCCACCAGGACGAGCATCGTCATTGACATCTTCTCGACCTTCCTTAAACCGGTTATACCACAATTGAACTTGTGTTCTGCTCATAGTAGACTGGCAAAACGCCACAGTCAACATTTCAAATGTCCTTGCGCATTTAATTTCATTTTTTACACAAAACTTAATACAGTTTCTTTGATCCATTTTTTCGAATAGTAAAAAATCGAAGAACACACCAAAACACGACTAACCTTTTTATCTGTCAAAAAAAAACTGCCAATCCAAAATGGCTGATATTGTCAACATATATAACAGATATGTGTACCAACATAACAGAAAAAAAATGCGAAAATCGAATATACGTAACTCACGAAATTTGAAAATAACGGTTATTTTTTGATCAGACCTCGTATGTTAAAATTATCCGGAAATAATTCTAAATTGTTAATGGATGAGTCAAGCCAGGTCTCCGTTAACGCAAAAACACGAGTTTTTGTCTTTAAACCTCGAGTATTTTGGTAAAAAATTGATAAGGTGTTCATATCTTTAACGAGACCTGTCTTTGAATCTACTTCAATTGCTATTCAGAAATTAAGATACTATTTTGAAATTTTTTTTAGGCTTCTGCATACGAGGCCCTGATCATTCTTTTTATTAATTTGTACGCCATGTTAAACAAGTTCCTATTGGTGGTTGTTTGTTCAACCTTAACTCTTACATCTATTTTTTTATTCTGAAATATTTTTAAAATTTACAACTTGTATAATAGATAACATAGATATTATTGTTTTTCTTTTTTTAGTGTTTACAAGAAAATCAGTTACCAACTGATATATTTTTAACTACTCTTAGATTAACTGATAACTGTGATGAATTAAAAAGTACCAAAGATTTAGTGTCTCTCGAAATACAAAGTCTGGTAGGTTATGATTTATTAAACTATTGAATATTTATTGAAATTATATTTTTATTTTTTTTAGAGGTCTCGCGATTCTGGCGGAGATAGTGATCTCACTGTTAAACAACAATTGAGCAGCTTATATTACGTTTTAAAGTTAATAGATAATAAGTTATCCAAAATGGAAAATATGGACAGTTCAGGTAATTTATACAGGATGTGCACTCCAGACTTAACTATCATTATTTTTTAGATGGACAGTCTTTTGATTACATCCAATTAGAAAATATAAAAAAAATCGACTTAAGTCTAGAGCAAATTTTGAAAAACAACATTGCTCTTTCCTATTTTATAGATTTCGTTTCTAGTCAAGAAAAACAATTGGATCTTTTTTTCTACTTAAACGTCGAAGGTAAATATTTGACTTTAAAAAATTAAATACAACTTTTAGATTCGCTAATAAAAATTGTTATTTAAAAAATTACAAATAGCGGAACTTTATTTTATGTCTACAGTATAAAGTTAAAAATGTTAAAGCTAGATCCTTGTGGGGCTTTATTTTGGATTTGCCGTATCTGCATAATAATTCTACTTCTATTTGTTATGATTATGTTATCATAATTCTTTCACCCTTAGAGGATAATCCGGTGGCTGGCCTCTTCCTATATTTTCTAAGTGAATAAATGCAAAATAACAAACAAAATGCGATAAAAATATAAATCAATATAGTCCAAACACTGATATTGTTAAAAGTGATTGGATTGTCAAAAATCTGTTTTACTTTTTGTTTTTTAAAATTTAGAAAGTCTTAGAATGGTTAATTATTCCAAATCAATATTGTTCAATTTAATAGGTATAAAGTAAATGGGATTTTTATCACTAGAGTTTTTATTATTAACTTTAGGAAGTTCTTTTATTTTAAATTTACTATTTGGCAGTTCATTACTACGTATTTTGTTTATTTAAAATTTTAATTTTAGTTGATTTTCAGCTAAGACTTGACTGCTTTTATTAAATATGTTTAAAGAATTTTGATTTAAGGTAATTTGTTGATTAATTAAAGATTTCAGTTTATTTTGATTTGTCGAAAGATTTTCTATGGCTTTGTCATATTTTTCGGCGTCGTTTTGATCTAAATTTCCAGATATTTATATATTTACGGTACCTAAACCATTAAGAAATGATGATTTAATTGATTAATTTCGGTTTGCACATTTTGTACATACATGGGTTTTGCACATTTTGCACATACATGGATTCTGCACATTTTGCACATACATGGGGTTTGCACATTTTGCGCATACATATCCTATCTACTGACATACAGGTTGTGATTATTTTTAAATAAGTCTCCATACCATAATACATACATGTTATTAATAGCAATATATATGTGTATATCGACCGATATGGTAATTTATTTTATTTATTAAAATAACCAAAAAAGGTTGACAGCTGTGTGCACGTAGTTTAGATTCAAAAGGAAAGACTTGTATTTCGTGCAAAACTTTTTAATTAATAAATGCAAAGCGCTTTCGGCTTATTTGCCATCATCAGTGCTTATCTACAAAAATTGTGGATGTAAACTTACAATTTAAAAAATTAAAAAAATAAAAAAAAATTAAAAAAATTATTAAAAAAAGATTATTAAAAAAATTATTAAAACAAAAAAATAATTAAAAAAAAATTATTAAAAAAAATAATTAAAAAAAATAATTAAAAAAAATAATTAAAAAAATTATTAAAAAAAAAATTATTAAAAATTATTAAAAAAAAAATTAAAAAAAAAAATAATTAAAAAAAATTATTAAAAAAAAAATTAAAAAAATTATTAAAAAAAAAAATTTTTTAAAAATTATTTTTTTTAAATTGGAAGTTTACTTCCACAATTTTTGTAGATAAGCACTGATGGCAAATAAGCCGAAATTAAAAAGTTTTGCACGAAATACAAGTCTTTCCTTTTGAATATTTTATTTATGTCCACAATTTGGAGAGGGGTGGTTTGGCAGTTGGTGAGGTTCTTGAAATGTTTTTTTTTTGGTAATAATTTTATTTTCTATAGTCTATTTTTATGTATGAGAGAGTATTAAAATAATAAAGCGTTCGTAATCCATAGGCGTACCACTTCTTTTAGTAGACAGTTAAAATATTTTTTGAAGTTATTCCTCGAGTATACACTTATATTTTCACCTAATTAACCTGCTTATAACTTCTAAACAGCTGAAGGTAAAAGAGTGCAAGTTTTTTTAAAATGTTTTATTTTTCCACAAGGTATGTTAAGAACATTGTGTCAAATGGGTTATGTAGGTATAAGGGTTTAAACTTTGACTTTTAAACAACGTTACGTTCATAAATTATAATTTTAATATAAAAACTACTTCTTACCTACAAATCAGAATCGAAATCAGAAGTTGAACTGTCGCAACCAATATTTACAATGAGTAGCTCGATCATTTCATCAATAATATTGTCCAACTTCCACATTTTTTCTTCTTCTTTAATCGTATGATTTACTGCCTGTTCCCAGTTTTCAGGCTTCACATTATTTACAGCCTCCCAAAAACAACTGTTTAACATCACTCATTTTAAAAGAATTATTTTTTCTTGAAACTTCTCCCTTTATATGTGCCCATATCAGTTCAATCGGGTTTACTTCGCAATGATATGGTGGTGATCTAACCTAACCTAACCTAACCACCGTCATCCCACGATTTTTTGCAATTTCATCAATTTCATATTTTTTGAATTTCTCTTTATGAAGGGAACACAAATGATACAGTTCTTTTCTCACAGAACCGGGATGCAACTTAATATTCTTTGAATTTAGCCAATTCTGTAAATCTTTTTTTAACCACTTGGTTGTGGGCATTTTTTCTATAAGTTTCGAGTGATAACTTGCATTATCCATTACTATTATACAGTTCTGAGGAAGAAGATCTATAATTTGTTCGAACCACTCTTTAAAGACATCAGCATTCATGTCCTCATGGTAGTCATCGGTACGAGTAGATTCAAAAGTCAATAAACCACCTTTAACAAAACCGTTTGAACTACCGATGTGTACTATTATTAGTCTGCGCCCCTTTCCTGATGGTGGATTTAAACCAGTAGATAAATTATTTAAAAAAGCCTGTCTTCGACTTGTAACAGTTTCATCTTGCCAAAATTTATTTGGTTTATGTCCCTCGTTGATCCATGTTTCATCTAAATAAAATATATTTCTTCTTTGGTTTCTCATTTCTTTTAAAGTCCTTAGGTAATTTCTTCTCCATACTACAATATCGCTTCTTTCTATTAAAATAGACTTTCTGGAATGCTTTTTCCATAGAAAACCTATTTCTTTTAAAAGATTCCATAGTGTGCTTCGACTCATTTCAGGGTAATCCTTATCATCTCGAAACGTGGCAAGAACTTTGTCTACTGTCGGAAATTCTTTTCTAAAGAAGAACGCAAGCACTTTCCTTCGAAGTCTTTCTTTTCTAATTGAAATTTTGGTTTTCCTGGAGCTTTACGTGCTGTTTGAAACTCGCCACATTTCTCTTCTTTAACAACTCTGTAAATCGTAGATTTCCCAACACCAAGCGTACTACTAACTAATTCCACTGTGTCATCAACACTTTTACATAAATGTTTGTCTGTAAATGATTTAAAACAATTAAATATTAATGTTTTTTGATTAACTGTTAAAGGACCGATTTTTTGTCGTTTATGCGGCCCTTCCAAATTTTCCATGATCACACTAGAATTCACACTGCACCTTGCAAGTTGCAACTAAACGACATTTAATAAACTGTCAAGAATACACAACTTGGACCTCCTTACTAAATGGAAAACCTATAATCGCATTTTCGGCGAAATTTGTTATCTACTTTTAATTCGATTACTGTAAGAAATTCTTGGAATTAAAATAAAACAAAGTTGGCAAATAGGTACTTATTGAAAATAATCTTAAGATACGGCTATGTAATTTTTAATACACAGGGCTTTTGGCCTGTCCAAACCTTTTTCTATTGTTCCGTACAGCTTATGTTTATAAAGGACCAATAAAAGACCCAAAACTTGTAATAGCTCAGGTACATTTATTACAATTTTAGGAAATATTTAGATTATTCTGTAAAAATATTTAAAATGACCGTACTTAAGTTCTGCATTAGAAATGCTGTTTTATTACTCTCTCATACATAAAAATAGACTATAAGATGGTTACTATTTTTTTTTTTTAATAATTGCACTAGATAAAACCAAAAGGCCAAATTATTGTAGTAATTCATAATTCTTTAATAAATACATTATTATTATTATTATTATTATTATATTTTAACTTACAGCTATCAAAATACCTGAGTTTGTATTTATAAAAAAATTTAATTATATGTATTCTTGTTTGTTTTTTATTTTTTTTGTATTATTTTTCTTTTTATTTTTTTCTGTATTTTTGTTTTTTTTTTTCTTTTTTTTTTGTTTCTTTTTTTTGTTTTATCATTTATTTGATTTTTTATTTGAACTGTAACAAAGATGCCTTCATCTTGAGTGCTAATTAATTACAGCACATACATTTGAATGAAATGTATTAAGAATTATCTATGTCTAGACAGGGTCATTAACTGGGGTCATCAGCCTAATACCTGTTTGCACATTTTGCACATACATGAGTTTTGCACATTTTGCACATACATGGGGTTTGCACATTTTGCGCATACATATTCTATCTACTGACATACAGGTTGTGATTATTTTTAAATAAGTCTTCATACCATAATTCCTACATGTTATATATCGAACGATACGGCAATCCCTACTACCGCCTTTAGAGATGTGAACAGTTTTAAAAAATTATGCTACATTTAAAAATAAGAGAAAGGTATATTATAAACCTGAAAGTTTTTTACCCAAATCTGTATTGAGATATATATTCTGTCATTGTGAACTCTAATATTTGTGGTTTGGTCTAATCTATTTGTTTTTGTACCTAAAAAATGTGTCTTATAGTATTAATATAAAGTACAATTTTCAGGCTGGAAGGTGTCTGTGGAACAGCAGATATCAGACCTACACCTAACTAAAATAATAAAAGGTTCCGCGGAAAATAGTACCCCAATTTATGAAAATATCCGTTCGACAGCTCTCAGTATTTACGAGCAATATTTAGGCGATAAAAGCGAGCAAAGGATACAAATGAAACCTGCACTTGTACAAACGTTGCATTTTAAGATTCGAAATCTCAACGAAACTCCTTCGGAAACGTGGTTCGATGGTATTTTAGAAGCCATTTACGATAAGATGGAAAATAATTTTCTACCTTTATTCAAGAAAAGCAAGTCGTACGTGAAGTTATTACAAGAACTCGATCTCTTGCAACAGGCGAATGCTGAAGATGATATTATCAGTTTTAATAGGTATGTACCTATTTAGTTTTTTCCTGGAATTTTGTTTAAACTTTCTTATTAGAAAATACAAATAATTTTTGTAACAACAATAACTTCAATTTTTAATGACAAAGAAAACATCGTAATTAAAAAAAAAATCTGATGTGTCCAACACATGACTTTCCTATCTAGTTATATAAATGTTTAGAGGATAAACTAAATATATACATTGTCCACATATATCTACCTCGAAACATTTTTCTATAGATATTCATGGAAAACGAAAATACTGAAAAATTTTAATTTCCTACAATTTTTTCATTACGGTCCATTTTAGAAAAATCATGTATAAACAAAAATTATAGAGATCGATATCGCAAACAACTTTTATTTCAAAAACTTTCATAATAAAAATCAGAATTTTGCACATTTTGTCAAATTTCTCGAATACGGGCCGTTTCAGGAAATTTTTACATAAAACAAAAATTACAGATAATAATATTAGAAGTAACTTTTATTTGAACAATTTTCCTCTCCAAACATAAATAACAGATATATTCCATAAAATATAAAAACGGCCTCCCATAAAGTACCCCCCCAGATGTTCCGACTTTGTCCAAAATCTAATCATTTCACGTCAGGCCGAAATAAACCTTAAGTTTAAAATTTAATGTTTTTTTCTTTATCCGTTTTTGAGTTTTCTTCAAAATTCGAAATTTACACATTTTCTCAAATATCTCGAATACGGTCCCATTTTAGAGAAATTATGTAGAGAATAAAAATTATAGAGAATTATATTACAAACAACTTTTATTTGAACAATTTTAATAAAAAAATATTTTTTTTACATTTTGTCAAATTTCTCGAATACGGACCATTTTAGGAAAATTTTGTATAGAACAAAAATTATAGATAATAATATTAGAAGTAACTTTTATTTAAAGAATTTTCTTCTCCAAACGTAAATAACAGATATATTCCATAAAATATAAAAATGACCACCTATAAAGTACCCCCCCAAATGTTCCGACTCTGCCCAAAATCTAATCAGCTCATTAGACGCTGAAACAAAGCTTAAGTTTAAAATTTGGTGTTTTTCTGTGTATCGGTTCATGAGTTATGCGTTATACAGACACACACACACACACACACAGACACACACACACACACACACACACACACACACACACAGACATCATCGCGAAAATAGTCAAAACGGATTCAGGGGACCTCAAAACGTAAAAATCCGTCGAAAACTCGAGGTCGAAAAAAATCATGATTCCTATACTTTCCTTATATCTGTATACAGATAGGAAAGTAAAAATATGTAAATTTTTTATTGGATTTTCAATAGAAAATTTTGACATTAAACATGAAACAAAATATCTGTCAAATGGCCACCGCAGCTCCGTTCACAGGTGTATATTCATTTGACGAAATTTTTGAAGACGTTTTTGAGCAAAATCGGCTGGATTTCACGAATATTACGTTCGATTTCTTCCTTCAGTTGTCGAATCGTCTCAGGATGGTTCCCATAAACTTTACTTTTTAAATACCTTGTAATAGCTTTGACACGTTGCAACGCCAATTTGTAATAGATGACGTTACCTTGTAATAAAATGTTAATTTCAAAACATTTATAAGAGATTTTGACTAGCTCAGAGAAATTTAACATCAACATTACTTACCTTTAAAAATAAAAAAAAATAAATGACCACATTGACCATAGTTTTCTCAGTCGTGGATTCGGCTTTTCTATGGGATAATAATTTTCTAGGAGAGTTGGGCACCATAATTCTCTATTTTTTTTTATTTTTTGAAAGCTAGTGAGAATTATAAACTCTAGCTTTATCAAAAAGAAATTAATAAAGACTTAAAAAAAAGATTCAACATATTGTTACGTTAATTGTAAAAATTTAATCTAATGGCGAAATCGTTTGATTTACTGTACTCCCACTTCACGAAATTTCCCTTTCTGTGGAATATTGCGTGCGGCGATAATTGAATTTAAATTAATCGAAAACTATTTATACAGGATGTCACACAATTAAAATAACATTTTTAACTGGAATTTTAAAATGTTACAACCCCCAGAGAAAATAGTCTAAGTGCGTCATATCGCAACTTATTTGTCAAAATTCGTTATAATGTACTGCGACTGATATTTAATTCCTGGCCGCGATGTCGGATGGAAATGTTTGAATGTTCGTTAACTCTGGCTCTCACGGCGGCGATGTTTTCAGCAGACCTTCCAGGACGACGACTCCTAACACTTGTCTCGTCTTTCAATGCAAATGCTTGCTCAAATTTGTTGATCGAATTTTCAATAGCGGTCCGCGATAGACGATTATGTACACCGAAATGTTCACGTAACCTGCGCATTGTCACTGTAAATTTTTCTGCATTTCTGCAATGGGTCTTTACAATTAATAATTGTTCTTCAAGAGTGTAACGCGGCATGTTTGTTAATGTCAATGTTTTGACAGAACACATGCCTAATGATGAGCGATATTTCACGAACTGTGATTTAATCACTGATACCAACAAATATCAAGTCGTTCCCGTTACCAACTTGTGAAAAAAGTCGTGAAGTGATCACGCTCACCCACAGTATTGGTTTCTTATTTCGTACTCAAACCTTTTAGGCTTTTGCAATACCGGTATTAACTTCAGTTACGTCATTAAGTCGAATTTCGCTTCAAATCATTTAAAATATGATAGGTAGCAGGCGACTCCGTGACTTATTGACAAACGTATGCTAATAAGGTCGATTTTCGCAAATCTCAATTGTAATAACACGCGTGGCATACGACATCGTGCCTTATTGTCCTTCGTTTGGCTATACTAAATCACGGAAGGATATCATTATGGTTCTTTTCCTTTCATATATTTTTCATTATTTGGTATCTATCTTGACAACGCGACTTGTTATCGAACGCACGAAATTTAGAGGTCGTGATCACGTCACGCTTTTCAATCACTGATATCAAAAAGAAACAGTAACGATTCACAACGTGATTGAAAAATCACGATATCGTCCATCACTACACATGCCTAATATGGCCCACTTGATGTTTGACAGACGGAAATGGCGCGCGATTCAAAATTCAAGTTCTTATTGGGGCACTCTTTACTTGACTAATCGAATTGCAAACATCTACGGTGTCATCCACGTAGTTGTCAAATTAATATGTGAGATTATGTGAGATAGCTGTTAATTTTTGGGTTTTTGGTACCCAGACAACTTCATATATGTAAGCATATGTCTTATGATGGCGTAATTCCGTGTGACGACTGGGGGAGAAACCCCAGGTGCGCCCCACGCTTCGGCGGCATTATTTATAAGCAAAGTATGGTCTTTTGTCTCTGTTTTCTAAGTGCGACTACATTGTTAACTTGCTATTAAAGGAGAGACCTAGGTACTTCACCACTGTTGCAAAGTTTAGTTTTATGTTAAGAGATCTGAAGATTTTAATTCCATTTTTTTATTCTTTTCCTTGTGAAAAGGACCATTTCTGTATTTTTGGGATTGATAGACATTGAATGGTCCTGGCACCAATGTTCTATAATTTTGAGGGCTACTTGCATTCTTTTGCAGATTATTATTATGTTTTATTTTGTTACTTTCTGAGTGACTTCGGAATTATATACTATAAGACAAGACGACTTTAATTCATTTATTGTATGACCTAGCCCCGTTACAATCTACCCCGAGGATGACGCTTGACATATAGACATGTGACGTGACACAACACTCACGTTCGTTTGTTTTCATAATAAAGGTGTCTTTACAATTCACAAGTATGTTCTCAAGATTTGCTGCTTGCAGAATAACCAGGTCATCTGTATACGTTATTGTGTAGTGATTATCATTATTGAGGCGGCTGATAAGGGTGTCGAGGACCATGTTCCACAGGAAAGATGATAGCACTCCTCCCTGTCGACATCCCCTTGCAATCAAGCCTCTTACATACACATCTACACTTATGTTTACTGCTCTTTTTAAAAGCATGTTATGTATCCACCCACTAAGCATCTGTGGAATAGGGTTAGTGAATGTATTATCTAGGGCAAAGGGGATTTTATCAAATGCACCTTCTATGTCTGAAAATATCCAAGGAGTCTATCGTCCAGTGATTTCTCTAACCGGCCAGCAACAAGGTGAAGAGCTGAATCATTAGACCTGCCTAGGGTGTATGCAATTGATTTGGCTGTAGTGGTGTTGTTGTAATCACCGCATCCCTTATGTATCTTTCGCATTGCCTTTCAAATGCCTTATTAAAGAATTTTCTTGGCATCTTCCAGCCCGTGACACTACCATATCGTCTGATCGTGTTGGAATAGCCTCAGGGTACAGGATTTCTTATAGACACTGTTTATTGTGCTTTGGTTGGTGTTCGATTGCTTTTCCAACACATTGTTATTGGTGTTTCGGCCTCCACCTCTCTCCAACGGTGGTCCGACATTGAAATGTTATCAGACACTTGTCAGTTTAGAATTGATGTATAGATACCAGTTGTGGATAAAGTGTTTGACTGCAGCAGTTTAAAAAGGTTGGTGTAGTACCTTTATTTAGAACACAAAGATTTTTGGCAATTATATAATCACCTCTAGCGTTGTTATCCTTACTGCCCCAACTGAAGTGATGAGCATTTGAGTCGCAACCTATTACCAGCTCAAACTTCTGGTTTAAGCAGTATTGAATCAGATCCTCCATCTTGGTTGCCTCGGAGGGGAGGTGGTCAACGTTTTCTTTTCTCCTTCGATGGCATATTCCATCCTAACCGCAGTTAAATCGGAAGGTGAAAAAAAGCACCATTGAGAGGGCTTTATATTTCCTAGGAATGCAAATGGCTGTCCTAGGTTGTTGGTTGCAGGGAAAGCTAAAAATTGAAACAGATTTTTAAGACCTAGCACGTAATTTTGCATAGTTCCATTCATCACAGTTTTTAGAGCACTTTTAAGGATTTCATTTGACTTTTTCTCGTATCTATTTGAGAAAGGGTGAAAGAATTTATAATTCATTTATATTACTATGTATTTGTAAATTTCTAGACACAAAAAACTTGTGTCTGACTCCTTAAGTGATCTCCTGTTGATTTGATTTCATCGCAGGTTCCATTCTCTTTTGAACTAGGTTGCACCGTACTGATGAAGACAAATTGTCAGAAACACGTGTCTACGGTTTGCCTTTAGGCTTTTTTCATTTTTTTTGTGGTTCCTGCTCAATAATCCTTTTATCTTGTATATATATATATATATATATATATATATATATATATATATATATATATATATTTTTTCTTTCCAATTTAATAGTAACGAAAGTCTCGAAAATAACGAAACCGTGCCCATAATTAGTAAGAAGATGGATTTTTTGAGCGTGGATAACGCAAGTAAGAACGTAAAGCATGTTCGATCACTGAGCGATGTGACGGTATTAATAGGAAAAAATGAATCGGACGTTAAATCCCGTAGTTCTAGTCAAGAAAAAAGAACGCCCACAAACGATGAATCCGTAAAAGAAGAAGAGGAAAAGATTGACGAAATAGCTTTAAAAACTGGAGATTATATTCTGAATGTAAATATTATTGAAACAGGTGAGATTTCAAAATATGATTAATTATATAATAGACTAGCTGTTGCCCGTGACTTTGTTCGCGACTTTTCTCGCATGTAGTCGTGTTATTAATATAAAAAAATACGTGACTTCCTTTTTTATTAGTTTTATTGATTTTCATTCATTTTTATTAATTTTTTTATATTTATTCATTTTTATTAATTTTTATTCATTTTTATTCATTTTTATTAATTTTTATTAATTTTTATCCTTTTTTATTCATTTTTATTCATTTTTATCCATTTTTATTCATTTTTATCCATTTGTATCAATTTTTATTTATTTTTATTCATTTTTATCCTTTTTTATTCATTTTTATCCATTTCTATCCATTTTTATCCATTTTTATTCATTTTTATCAATTTTTATTCATTTTTATTCATTTTTATTAATTTTTATTCATTTTTATCCATTTTTATCAATTTTTATTTAGTTTTATTCATTTTTATCCATTTGTATCAATTTTTATTTATTTTTATTCATTTTTATTCATTTTTATCCATTTTTATCAATTTTTATTAAGTTTTATTCATTTTTATCCATTTGTATTAATTTTTATTTATTTATATTCATTTTTATCCATTTTTATCAATTTTTATTTAGTTTTATTCATTTTTATCAATTTTTATTTAGTTTTATTCATTTTTATTCATTTTTATTCATTTTTATTCATTTTTATTCATTTTTATTCATTTTTATTCATTTTTATTTATTTTTATTTATTTTTATTCATTTTTATTTATTTTTATTCAGTTTTATACATTTTTATTCCTTTTTATTTATTTTTATTCATTTATATAAATTTTTTTATTAATTTGTATTAATTTTTATTAATTATATTAATTTTTAGTAATTTCTATTAATTTTTATTAATTTTTATTAATTTTTATGATACTACTATACAAAAATCTAACCACAGAGCACGTCATTATTTATTTATGCTACAATTATAATTTTCAAGTTCCAACGTTTAAAAAATTTATACTTCTATACAAATTTTTCCCCCCGTTTTTCCCCCTTAAAATGTGAAAAACCAAAAACCATGAAACACGTCATTTTTGATTTTTAATCAGTACCTGCAATTCCAATTTTCATGTTTCTAACTTTAAAGAGAACCAAAAACATAGGTACTCCCAAATAATTCCCCCCCCCACCATTTCCCCCCCTTAAAATTTGAAAATCCAAAAACCCTGAAACACGTCATTAATAATTTGTAGTCAGTAGCTGTAATTCTAATTTTCATGTTTCTAACTTCAAAGAGAACAAAAAAATCAATAGTCCCATACAAACTTTCACCCCCCGTTTCCCCCCCCCCCCCCCCCATTAAAAAATGTGAAAACCCTGAAACGCGTTATTATTTATTTATGCTTAGTAGCTGTAATTTAAATTTTCATGTTTCTAACTTTAAAGAACAAAGAGTTTCATTAAAAGCTCCCTCCCCCATTTCCTCCAATTTCCCCCCTTTAAAGTTAAAATTTTTAAAAATCCTTTCTTACCTGATGCTTATGTTATAAAATAAACGTATGTTCCAAATTTCAGCTTTCTAGGCTTAGTAGTTTTGGCTGTATGTTGATAGGTCAGTCAGTCAGTCAGGACAAACAATTTTATATATCGTTCATTTAGAAGAAAAGGGTTACATCTCAAAAAAACATCAATTTAGAAATATCAACGAGAATCAATTTTAAAATTTGTCATGTTTTATAGGGAAAAAAGGAACAAGTTAACTTAACAGCACCAAAAGAGCAGGTGTAACTCTCTAGTTTACAGGCTTATCAAATTATTTAAAGTTGCTCTTTTGTAAAATTATTGTTTTTTAGATACAACCCTCTTCTTCCAAATGAACGATATATAGATTCTTTATTTAAAACGTTTTATTTTCCTGATTATTAGGGATCGTTTGTGAAAAGGGAAAAACTTTTGGAATTTACGCCATTAGGGTAACTCGTTCTTACGAGACTGGATATCAAGAGGAATGGCACATTTACAGAAGATACAGCGACTTTCATGATCTTTACACCAAAGTGAAAGAAAAAGTAAAATATTTTCTCTAATCAAATTTTTTTCTTGTAATAATTGAAGGGGTTAGAAGCAAAAGGATTGAAGTGGCATTTTTTTTTTAAATTAGTTATTTAAAACTATTATTTTGTTGGTGGTAAAACGATACAAGTAATTTTTAATATCTTAACAACATTTATCACCTGCTAAAAAAAACGTGTACTTTGTTCTAGGCAAGAAGGTTTAAGCGCACTTAAATCAAAAAAAAAATACTTGTGGCACTCGGGGACTGCCGCGGTAAAGCTATTGCATAGCATTTTTTATCAACGTATGCAATTATAATTATTTATTTATTTTATTTATGCAGTGTTTTTTTTCTTTGATATTAATTCAAGTTTTCTCTTCCAGTTACACTTTTTGAGCGTGATGACCGATAAGAAAACATTTTTTTTTTCTTTTATTGAGTAAATGAAAAGTTAATATTGTTTAAAATATTTTTATTCTTACAATACATGTAGGTTATTCAGGAATTTTAACATTAAAACTATAAGTTTATGGTAACTGAAATAAGAAACAAGTTTGAGACTTGATATCCTCTAAATATCTGAAAAATACCGCGTCAATGGTGGTCCCATATTTTGTTGTGGATTCTTGTGGATCGTTATTCATTTTCAAATTTAATTTTTCCGAAATTGTGTCTAAAAGAGATAGAATCAGTTAGCAGCTAGTCTACACGTATACGTCTAGTCGCACGTACACAAACACCGTGCCGAAGTATGCCGAACAATTTTTTCATTTTTTTTTTTATTTTTCGATTTTTTAATTTTTCGATTTTTTGATTTTTCGATTTTTTTTAAACTTTTTCGATTTTTTCATTTTTCGATTTTTTTGATTTTTCGATTTCAATTTTTTCGGATTTTTCCATTTTTCGATTTTTTTATTTTTTCGATTTTTTTGATTATTCGATTTTTTTAAATTTTTTCGATTTTTTAATTTTTCGATTTTTTTGATTTTTCGATTTAAATTTTTTCGATTTTTCGGATTTTTCCATTTTTCGATTTTTTGATTTTTAAATTTTTTCGATTTTTCGATTTTTTTTAAACTTTTTCGGATTTTTCCATTTTTCGATTTTTTTATTTTTTCGATTTTTTTAAATTTTTTCGATTTTTTAATTTTTCGATTTTTTTGATTTTTCGATTTAAATTTTTTCGATTTTTCGATTTTTTTATTTTTTCGATTTTTTGATTTTTCTGATTTTTTGATTTTTCTGATTTTTTGATTTTTTCCATTTTTTAATTTTTTAGATTTTTTAATTTTTTCGATTTTTTTTTGATGTTTCGATTTTTTAATTTTTTGATTTTTCGATTTTTTTAAATTTTTTCGATTTTTTAATTTTTCGATTTTTTTGATTTTTCGATTTAAATTTTTTCGATTTTTCGGATTTTTCCATTTTTCGATTTTTTTATTTTTTCGATTTTTTGATTTTTCAATTTTTTTATTTTTTGGATTTTTTTTTTGATTTTTTATTTTTTTCGATTTTTCGATTTTTTTATTTTTTCGATTTTTTGATTTTTTCGATTTTTTTAATTTTTTAGATTTTTCATTTTTTCGATTTTTTAATTTTATCGATGTTTCGATTTTTTTGATCTTTTTTATTTTTTCGATTTTTTTATTTTTTCGATTTTTCGATTTTTTAATTTTTTCGATTTTTTTGATTATTCGATTTTTTTAAATTTTTTCGATTTTTTAATTTTTCGATTTTTTTGATTTTTCGATTTAAATTTTTTCGATTTTTCGGATTTTTCCATTTTTTGATTTTTTTATTTTTTCGATTTTTTGATTTTTAAATTTTTTCGATTTTTTGATTTTTCGATTTTTTTTAAACTTTTTCGATTTTTTCATTTTTCGATTTTTTTGATTTTTCGATTTCAATTTTTTCGATTTTTCGATTTTTTTATTTTTTCGATTTTTTTAAATTTTTTCGATTTTTTAATTTTTCGATTTTTCGATTTAAATTTTTTCGATTTAAATTTTTCGGATTTTTCCATTTTTCGATTTTTTTATTTTTTCGATTTTTTGATTTTTCTGATTTTTTGATTTTTTCCATTTTTTAATTTTTTAGATTTTTTAATTTTTTTGATTTTTTTTTGATGTTTCGATTTTTTAATTTTTTGATTTTTCGATTTTTTAAATTTTTTCGATTTTTTAATTTTTCGATTTTTTTGATTTTTCGATTTAAATTTTTTCGGATTTTTCCATTTTTCGATTTTTTTATTTTTTCGATTTTTTGATTTTTCGATTTTTTATTTTTTCGATTTTTTTTTTTTTTCGATTTTTTATTTTTTTCGATTTTTTGATTTTTCGATTTTTTGATTTTTTCGATTTTTTTAATTTTTTAGATTTTTCGATTTTTTCGATTTTTTAATTTTATCGATGTTTCGATTTTTTTGATCTTTTTTATTTTTTCGATTTTTTAATTTTTTCGATTTTTCGTTTTTTTAATTTTTTCGATTTTTCGTTTTTTTAATTTTTTCGATTTTTCGTTTTTTTAATTTTTTCGTTTTAATTTTTTCGATTTTTTGATTTTTCGATTTTTTAATTTTTTCGATTTTTTAATTTTTTCGATTTTTCGATTTTTTCGATTTTTTGATTCTTAAATTTATTCGATTTTTTCGACATTTCGATTTTCTTTTATAGAATAATATTGTTTAACGCCGCACCGCTGTGCCGGTCGGAGTGGGGGGTGTTAGGAATTTCTTGATTCGGTCGCCGCGCTCCAAGCCCGCCATAAAAGCTATGCAATAGCTTAAACCCTTTTGCTTCTAATCCCTTCAATTGTTCTTTTGAAACTGCAAGTTTTTTGTAATATTTTTTCCAGTTTCCCGATCTTTCGAAACTTACGTTTCCCGGAAAGAAAACATTCCACAACATGGACAGATCCGTGCTGGAACGAAGAATGAAAATGTTAGGTTTATATATGAACGAAGTGTGTCATAATAATGTGATATCGACGCATCACGGACTTAGGGATTTGGTGATGACTTTTCTTGAGCAGGGGGATTACGATCGCGCCACCGGAGGACCGATCTCGAGCACCGTAAGAAATTTATTTCTGATAGTAATCGTAAAATTAAATTAAGATATAATTAAAAGAAGCCTGTCAATAAGTTATCAAAATATTCTAATTTAATAAAAGGACTAAGAAGACTAGGAATGGTGTACACATTAAGTATGAGTATGAAAAGTGGAATGAGTACAGGGTCTACAAAAAGGCGAAGGCTACTCATTCCATTATTCAGCTTCAAGGCTGCTGTTGTAAATACAGAAGAATTTACTAAGAACTAGTTCAAAAGAAACGAATATTTTCAGTTTTTATCAATCTATTTTTCTGACAAGTCTTTACAATCTTTCAAAAATTAACATATCCTCTCATAAAAAACTATGACAACTTTTTATTATTTTTTAATATATAGGATGATTTTCTATTTTCAACAGCTGCAGTTTAAACCTAACCTATTTAAAAATTCTCTACCGGCTCGCTAAACAATCAATAACTAATAGTATCATTCTTTATATTGAAAAAGGAAGCAAAAACAATTTGAATAGCCTTTTACAATAGTTATTAAAATAAAATTAAAACTGAAATGACTAAGTTTGTACCTATTCAGAATTTTAATTTGTTTTCTAGATAAATACGCTAGTGAATCCTCTTAAATCTGGTATGAAGACCATCAAGAACATGCCAGAGCAGTTGATAAATACTGTGGACGAAGTGGTGGTAGGTTTGTCCAAAGTATTTCATCCCAAACCTCTTAGGTTCCCAGAGGCGTGTAAAGTTGGAGCTTCAATAGAAGAGGTATTTTTAATATTATAAATTTTGATCAATGAGAACTACATATCGTTAAAACTTCGTAATTCATATTTTAACGTAGCTGAATGTAATTTTTTTAGAGATTAATTTTAAAAATATGTAAATCTTTAACCATTTAGTATCTTTTTGATTTCCCTTTTTCTAGGACATAAAGAAAGCTACTTTATAAAATTAACAATTACAGAAAAAAAGTTTTTATTGTTTCCTGAAATTCTGGTAATTTGATGATACGAGATTTTGACTCTACGATGACAATATATAATTTTCACCTTTTTTGGTGTCCATATTACCAACTCTCGCAACAGTGTTAGTGTCAATTTTTGAAATTTAATTGGCACTGGCACAGACTGATTTTAAAAATAATTTCTGTAAATGTAATATTAAATTAAATTAATTACAAAAAATGATATTCTATATTTTAGGTACGATGTATCAAATTGAAAAGTATTTAATTCAGTCATTTTGATTGTTAGTTTTTAGTACTAATCGCAAAAATGCTTAAAAATATAAATTCCACAATTTGCACCACTTTAGCTTTGTCATTGATAAAATAAAGTTGTCTGTCTCATATGATTGTGGCGCCAGAAGAGGTGAAAATGATCATATAAATAAATTAAGTATCTAATTATAGGTTCATTTTGTTATATCGTCTTTGGTTTTGTTAAATATGTGAATAAAAAGTGTAAAAAAATGTAAAAACACGTAAAGAAACGTAAGAAAACGTATGAGAATGTAAAAAAAAAATGTAAAAGAAATGTAAAAAAAGTTTTATCATAGTAAGTTTGTTAATAGTGTAGTGCCAGTCAATCGGAATTATGCTTTCTGTAGGGGACTAAGTGTCACAAGATGAATTATTGTTAGTGAATTGAAAACTAATGTTTGAAGATTCTAAAACCGGAGGTAATCCAAAATTGACGATTGATAATTAACTTATAGCAATTAGTATTAAAAAATTAAAACAGTTCTCGCTCATTGATTTACCGTCACACATATAGGTATTTGCACGATCTACGCGGCCAAAATTATTGTTTTGCTTATTTAGTATCTAAACAACGTAAATAAATAAAATAAGTTATTTTTACAACAAATCTATATATTTTCTAAAAATAATTATATATTTACAAAAAAAAAAAAAAAATTTAGGTCGACAAAATATTTTTGTTAAGTTTCTTGACTTTCTTCGTCGCTCTCTGATGAACTTCCTGTTTCAATATGGGATTCTGCAGATGCAAACATGGCCAAGGTTTCAGTCAAAAATGTGTTTGATTTTCTTTTTTTTTTACATTTCTCATGCTACTTAGCACAGGATCTGAACTAAGGCAGAAGGCGAATAAAAATGTCCTGATTACAACTTTTCCTGGAAAATTTTTTCGCAAAATCTTGTTGGTAACTTCTGAAATGTTTATTGCGAGCCTCAGCTGCTTCCTCGGAAAGCTGTCCGAATGGTAACAATGCTTTTTCAATAATGATTGCACCATGCACTAAAATCTTGTGCATTGTTGACGTCATAGGATGCTAATCATACAACTTAACATAAAGTCGAGCAGTTTCTGAAGCATATCTTTTATAATTTACCGGATCAATTTCAAATCCGCTTGAAATTGCTTCCAATATGACTTTTAGTCTGTATATCAGTTCATAGCTACTACCAGTTATTTCTGCAGCTAATGTGGGATTCTCAAAGACCCTTCTGCTGGTATTTCTATCATTTGTATTCCCGAAATTGGATTTAGGCATATCTATTAGTAAACCTGCTTCAGTACGGAACCTTGTTTGTATCTCTCTTTTGGTTTGATCTTCTAGGTCTTTCTCCTCTTTCGATTTTCTTCCCCTATATATTTTCACTTTAAGTTTATATGCTAAGTGTAGGATGCATTCAAATAATCGAATTCTAGCGTGTAACACAGATATGCCGAATTCAAGGGCTGTAAAATTCACTTCTCCTTTGTAATCCAATTTATTAAAATCTTTCGAGGTTGCCCCACATAAGTAGTACCTACTCGCAGACTTTGTGCCTGTAGCTGCATTCAGACCTTTCCATCTACCATGATCATGATAAAGTGCTTGATTAATAGCTTTTTCCCTCCTAGGTCGACCTCTGTTGGGACTAAAGAGGTAATAGCGCTTTTGACGTGTGTTATTTCCTCTTCAGTTACATCATTAGTTTCTTTGATAAAACGGAATCTTATTGGGCGACAAAATCGCGGCGAAGAGGGCGTTGGATTATTTCATAAAACTTTTTCATTTTTATCTCCAGAAATTAATTTAAGAGGCACAAAACAGCTTTGGAACATGCTTGAATCCGAATCAATGTCACTTTTTAGTTTTTGTTTGAACTGTGATTGTTGAGACCCATCGCAGACCCATTTACTAATTATAGTTAGGCAATCACGCTCTTTGTCCTTTAAAATTATTAATACCTCTTCTAGGTACTCCGATAAACGGTAACACCCATTAGAAGCTGTAACTGAGCTTCGGCACTGGTACTCGTTACCATTAACAATTCTTGAGGTGGGTAACATTTCTTTTTAGCTTTTTGTAGTGCATTATAGCACGGAAAAAACTTCTTATTGGTTTTTCTTATGATTTCGTACTGTCCTTGTGTCAAATCGGCATCTATAAATATTTGCAAAGCTTGCATTGGTGTCAAGGAGTGCTCTTTACTTGATTTCGTAAGAGAAGCCTTTTTATATTTAGTTGCTTGTGTCGTATAACTGGTAATATCTTTTAAGACATTTGATGCATCTTTTTTATTTGATTTTCGCAGCATGTATTATGATTTCCTTTTCAAAATTAGAACGCAGTTCTTCAGTCTTTCGTCTTTTGTTTCTCTCACTTGCGTCTTCAAACGATTTGCATGGTCGACCTGGCCGTTTTTGTGAAGCCCCAACGACAGGTATTTCAAAATCACCTTCCAGCCAAGATCGGTTGTATTTTATAAAATTATCTTCTTTATAATGAGCTTTGGTCTGCCTTTGTTTAATTTCTGATTTGAATTGGGCAAAAATACGTTTCAAATTAATAATTTGATCTTCATTATAACCTTCACATGACAAAAGTTGATCTTTTAGATAGTTTAATTTGGCATTTAACTTAGGAAAATTTTCTGTCTTTATGCGGTCATATAAGGATTGTCGGGTCATAACCCTTACTCCTGATGATAAACATTTCCAATTTTATACAAAATTTTGCTAAATATATTTAATTAATGTCTCAAAGCTGTATTTATCCGGACGTTACCAGAGATGTTTTTGTTATAAAAAAAATTATATTGTATAATGGATAATCATGACTTTATTAATGTAGTTTGGAAGTTTCTTACCTTGTCCATCAGAATCCTTCACTTTCAATTCGTAAGTAGAACTTAATAACATAAAAATTCACTTTAGAAGTTTAACGTTTAGAAAAGCACTGAGAACAGAATGAACAGATACGTACACTAAGTAAAACGGTCATATTCTGAATGACGCTAGAGTTGAGGGGTGCGAGATAGTAGGTAGATCGGCATGTGTATTGTTCCCGGATTCGTCCTCTGTTCGTGGAATTCGTTATTATGAATGTTATTGGGATTTTTGGCCGCGTAGATCGTGCAAATAACTGTATGTGTGTCGGCTATCTGTGTCCCTTCTACATCGTTTTGTATATACCATCTTAGTTGCACCTATGATTATAAATATATGCCTATCTCTACCGCACTACGAGTGGAGTAATTAGGTGTAAACGGAATGCACATATGATTTTACTCCTTTTACTCACGGAGTGCAATGTCAGTTGTCAATGTGACATACCAGTACTTACAATTTAATCGTATCTATCAGTAACAACCATATTAATGATATATTCACGGGAACCAAAAACAAAGCTATTTTACTAAAGAACCAGTCACCATTATCTTACTATCGATTTAAATCACCTTATGCGCATGCCCGATCCGAACGGTCAAACAGGAACTTTTATTTTAATTCCTTCGTTCCCGAACTCCTTAGGTACTTTAGGAGTGAATAGAGTGAAAAGAGTGCGTAGCCCGAACTCATCTATTATAATCACAATCCGGTCTCATTTTTTTTGAAGATAAACTATTATAGTTCTGAATATTATATACAGATGTCTCAAATTGTACGGATCCTACTGAGCTTATAGATTTCATAATTTTGAGCAAGGAAGTGGTTAAACTATTTCTTTAATTTTAATTTACATCAAAATTTAAGAGATGTAAACGTTAGGTAATTTGTTACTGATCGAGATCGGACCATTGTAAATATAAACCTTTTTTTTTTTTCTCAAAATTATGAGATCTACAACCTGACTTTGTTTTATATAATATCTGACCTTTGCAATAGGGATTTTGGTTAAATTTATTATTAGTATTAATACTCATTAAATATTAAAAAAAAAATGTGCCACGAGTAAAATATCTAACTGAAAGAGCCCCCTCCCTCAAAATACTTATATGTCTTTAGTTAAAGAACTGGATATTCATATTTTTTTGTTAGAAAACTTTAACTTACAATCTTGTGTAATAATGGCATTAATTTTTTTTTAAATATATCAGAATATTCTTACATCAAAAGACGAGTGAAAAGTCCAAAAATAAATAAAAAAGGTCGACTAAAAATCAAGTGGAGCAAAATTCTTTAGTTAGTTACTCGGTTACCAAAAATCAACCAATAAATAATCAAAATTGAACTAAAACTCTGTGGAGAATTTTGATATTTGTGATTTTTACATGTATTCGTTGTCTCTGGTTTAAGTATGTATTCTAAATTATTTTGTGTTCACGTGTATGATTTTTAGTTTCATAAATTCGTCAACACACTAACCTGTGTCTGAAATATCCATAAACGCTCTGAGACCGATAGTCTTCGGATCTTTTATCTTGTTACACAAGTAAAACAAATAAAAAAAAAAATATAATTTGAATATTCGAGAAGAAAATTTATAGAAAAATCATAGGAAATTATATTTAATGATTTAGCTAAAATCACCGAAATAGTATAAAGTTAGGGAGATTTTGGCAAAATCTGCGAAATCGTATACATTTAAGGGTTGTTAAATCACCGATATTATATGAATTTAAAGGTAATTTCTCTGAAATAATACAAATTTTAGGTGATTTCCGAAATACGAGTACGTTTTAAATTTAATGATTGACCCCTCGAATCAAACTAAATAGAAAAAATAAACATCTTTATTATTTGACTGTATATCACCCGTGTCTGCTATTTTAATTGATTTGTTTTGTATTAATTATCATAAGTTTATTATTATAAGACATAAAGATATGGTTGATCTTTTGTTAAGATCTATACACATTTTAGAAACTTTTATAAAGAGTAACTTTTTTGTTTTAAAAGTTTGTTTAGCTAACTTCGTAGTGCAAACATAAAAAGTATAAGATAAGGCCGAGAAAATTATATTTTTAGTTTTTTTTGGGCCGTAAGTCCCAATTCGTTTTTTTTTTTTTTTAATTTAAAATAATACATTAACGTAATTTGTAGAGGGACTTTTTGAAACCAATATCTCGTTTTTTGAAAATAGTGCCCTTCTGCAAGGTCTAATTTTGGATTACTTCCGGTTTTAGAGTCTTCAAAATATGAGTTTTCAATTTACTAACAATTCAGATTGTGACACTTACTCCCCCGCATAATTCATTTCTAGAGCGCTTTTTTTACAAATAGCACCATACTAAAAGAAATCTTAAAAGAATTCATTTATCTGTTGATTTATACCGGGTGTCCCATAGGTTTCTAAACAGCATTTCTAAGTTACATTTTAAAAAAAAATATGAAGAACATGATTGTGTAAAAAAAAATGTTTTATGCACGACCGGGCGATAAAAACCAGATTACAAATACGTTTAGCGCGCGTAAAGTGCCCCTTTATCGCCCGAGGACTACTTTACAGCACGCGAACTACTTTCTTTTATAATAACCTACTCACACAAGGCAAAAAAGAGAAAATAATAGTTATTTATTAATAAACGATCATTATAATGGTCGTATATAAAATTTTATACAGGGTGTTTCATTAGTGCGTAATTTCAATTTGTGTTATAGACACGCAAAAAAGTTTCAAATAAAAATTATATGGATTTAAAAAATACATGTTTAAATATACGTTTGGATATACAGGGTGTTGCGTTTTCACCTGGATTTGAGAGAAACTTATTATGTATCTTTTAAATCCATATAACTTTTATGTAAAACTTTTTACGTATCTATAACATACATTGAAATATTGAACATTTATGTACTAATGGGACATTCTGTATATTTGTTAATAAATTATCATTAAAAGAGTCGTACATACAATTTTGTATGTACTTCGGACGTAAACAGCGTTTATGGACCTTACGTGTTAATAGAGAGTTATTGCAAGTTCACTTAAGGTCAGTCACTATTAGTGCGCTCTTATTTTGACGTCTGAGCATGCGCAGATCACTTACATTCTAGAACCGACTTTAATAATGATTGTGCCTGTCCTTAATTGTGGATGTTTAAGGACAACAATTAGTGGCGACTTTATAGTTTTCGGGTGCGCTCGCCAACTTTCGTAATAGTCTAAGATCAGAAATAAGGTCGACTTTCACCCATCTGTTTACCGGATGAAAGTTTCTTTTTATTAAATAAAATATGTTTATAAATATATCGCAAAAGGGTTGCCTAAGAAAATACAGTCCAGGGTATTTATTTTCTAAAAATAAAAAAAACAACACCCTGTAAAGTATTTCTCAGATGCTTCGATTATGCCCAAACTTTAATCAGTTCACCGTAGGATAGATTAAAGCCTAAGTTTAAAATTTGGTGTTTTTCTCTTCATTCGTTTTTCAAAATTCGAAATTGCACTTTTTCTCAAATATCTCGAATTAGGTGCATTTTTGGGAAATCATGTATAGGGACAAAATAATGGAGAATGACATCAAAAGCAACTTTTATCATGATTCCTATACTTTCCTCATCTGTACACAGAAAGGAAAGCAAAAAATGGCCGTGACCGTATTTTTTTAGGCAACCCATTTGCGGTATACTTCAAAACATATTTTATTTAATAAAAAGAAACTTTCATCCGGTAAACAGATGGGTGAAGGTCGACCTTACTTACGGATCCTGGACTATAATATTTAAAAATTTAATATCATCGTTATCTAAACCTTCTAAAACGGTAATATCTAATGCCTCTTCCATATTATGTACTATTATAAACAACAAAAAGGATGAAATGTAATTTAAAATTTTTAAAAAGAGGTTAAAAATATGTATAAGGACAAAGACTCTAATGTCAAAATTTCAGGTTTGCAATGTCTTATTTTAGTATGGAATTTATTTGGCTCTAATTACGTTGTCACTATTAGTGGCTGACGTTATAGAAATTTGCAATAACTCTCTTAATTACACATTGCGGTCCATAAACGCCTGTTTTACCCCCTTGATACATACATAACTATTATAGGATAAACAATTATTAAATTGTATCCCCAGTTTCGTGATATACAGGGTATTACTTAATGATAAGTCGTAATTCCTAGGACGCATTCCTGAACGAAGTTCAAGTAAAAAAGTTTGTAGAAACATGTGCCCTAATAAATCTGGTTTTCAAGATACATAATGTCAAAGTTTATTAATATCTCAAAGATCCTTTTTATTATCAATTTAAGGATTTTGAAAGATTATGTTGAAATTTGGCAGTGTTCTTCATTGTGATAAGACGATATTTGCTCATTATTTATTTGTTCATTATCTTTGCCCATCGCTAGGATAGCAGTATCATCTGCAAATAATGTACTTATTGTGTCTTATTCTAGTTGGTAGTTGGGATATGTCACAAGTGTATAACAGGTACAAAGTGGGTCCCATAACGCTTCCCTGTGGTACTTCTGTTTTGATTCATTTCAATTCAGAGTATACTTAATTTTGTTTTATTCTAAAGAAACTATCTGAAATGTATGAATCCAATAGCTCTGAGTATGGCTGTGGAGATACCACATTCTTTATCTAAAGCCTATGCAAATTCAAGGAAGATGGCTCAGCAAACTTTTGTGTTTTATAACGCTTTTTCAATCACGTTTCAGATTCTATAAACCTGATCTCTAGTTGAAAGATTTTCTGTAAAACTGAACTGATAATTTGAAATTACTTTCTTTTCTTCAGTGATGTGTTTCAGCCTTTTCGTAAGAATGTTTAAAATAGTTTCGATAATATAGGCAATAGAAAGATTGACTTTTATGATAAAACTTCGTTTGGAGTTTTTCCAGGTTTTTTTACTCATTTCGACAATAAACACGTGTAGATTGAGCACAGGATCGTTTCTTAAACTAATTCAAGATTTAAGTTATGTTTAATATGTGTTTTAAACAAGTTCTAAAACTTTTCCTGTAATTAGAATCAATATTTGTCTTTATATCCTTTGCAATTTCGTTTGAAAACGATTCCATTCTGTCTGTAATATCCCAGTTCAGTAATTCTTCTCTTTTGTTTTTATATCCTTTGCAATTTCTCTTGGAGACGAGTCCTTTCTGTCTGTAATACCAGTTCTGCAATTATTCTCCTTTATTTAGTTCGAAGGTATTTTGTAGGTGTTCTGCGAATCTGTTAACTTTTTGGCATGTTATTGCTAGCCCAGCTGTCATTTGCATTCCTGATTAGAGCACTATGCTCTGTGGCTTTCCATAGGGAATAATCAGTGATTTTATTGATTGTCAACTCCCTAATATATTGATTTTTGATTCGTTTTATCTCACTTTTTAACTGCTGGGTGGCGTTTTTAAGGTTATTTTTATCTGATGGAGCTCTAGTCTGTTTAAATTTTGTCCTAAATTTTCTTTTTGCAGATATTAGGTCCCTTATTTCTTTATAACAGTTGATTCCTATTGTTCGCTGTTCAATATGGGTAGTATTATCCTATGCTGCTCACTGTATGTTAGAAACAAACACTACTTCTTCATCTAGCTGTACTACTGTTCTTAACGGAACTGAAAGGTTTATTTTCTTTTCAAGGTCTAGTCTGAAGTTTTGCAATGTCTGTTCTCCTGTTTACTAGTCTAATAATTTTGTCACTTAGAGTAAGAAGAATAGAAGAATAATCTGAATTCATGTCTGCCTCAACAATTTGCGTGTAGTTTGTTGAAATATTTCGTACAACAAAGAAGTCTATTAAGTCTGGTATTTTGTTTCTGTCTGTAGGCCAAGAAGTTGGCTTACCAGTAGAATGCGACTTACATTTTAGGTGTTTATCCTTAGTTGTTGTTAGTCTAGAATCCCAATGGCTGTGCTTTGAAGTAACCTCCAATGATAAATTTAAATCCTTGACTATTTAGGAAGTCTAAGCATTGTTCTTTTTTAATAGTATGTCTTGGTGAACAAAAATGAATGTTAAAATATGTTTTTTTTTTTTAAATTTTATCTTGTCAAATAACTTAGAAATTTGCTGGCAGAAACCTATAGGTACCTGGGGGTACTTATATAATTATTCCAATCATATATTTTTATTTTAAAAATAATTTTAGACAGATGATAACATTCCACTTAGAATAATGCTGTTATTAATGGACGAAGTTTTCGATTTGAAATCTCGCAATCAGTGGTTAAGAAGGAGGATAGTCACGCTGCTTAGACAAATTGTAAGGACCATGTTCGGGGATATAGTCAATCGTAGAATTTTAGAATATGTGTCATTTATAACTAGTCCTAAAAATGTTGCACATTACTTGTACATATTCAAGTAAGTTTTATTTTTATAGGTAATATATGTTTGAAAATATCGTCGATTGGGAAGAATACTATCGTGAATCCTTTTCTATTAGTTTTGAGTATTACGCATTTAAACAAAGATAATTCTATGCAATTTTTGTTCCCTATACTGCTTCTTAGGACATTGGATAGTATTGCACAAGCTAAAATTAAATAAAATTTAGGATGTTATGTAAATAACTTATTTTAAAAAAAAAATGGATATTTGACAGTTTAAAAAGGACAAAATAGTTTTCTTTTCAAACAATGATATGTAATTGTTAATATAACGAGTAGATGTGATTGGCACACTTATTATTATTATGTGTATTATTATAAATATGTTTCAGGCACTCATTTTGGCCAAATGGAATGAAAAATGACAGAAAGTCTGACCGAGATGATAGTACCAAGAATCGAACAAGAGTTGCTGCAAAGGTAGCACTTTTATCGTGCTTATCAGGTGATTTTCTTATAATACTTCAAAGACTAACTAAATTTATCACTAAACGAAAGTGTAAAACTTCAAATCAATGCCGCATATAATTTTTATTGATCTTATATAATATATAATAATTTTTATTGATCTTAACAAAAAACAGGCGAGTGCGACTAGTTTCGGTTCATCGAGCCTTCTTCAGGACAAATTTATTATAATAAATTGTATTTATTTAAAATTCGTATTAACCTTTCCCAAAAACCTCCCCACCAAGGCGCTGATGGAGGGTTGAATATCCAATTAATTTTACTGATTGATGAAAATTTATTAAGACTTTCCCAGTTCAATTTTCCAAACGCGTTGTCGCTGTATATCACCGCAGGTCTTCCTCTCCTGGCAATGATTCTACGCAAACCTTGTAAAAATGACTCTGAGAACAATGACGTCAACAACTCCAGAGGAACTGCTCTATAGACAGCACACGGAAACAACGCTACCCATGACTTATCTCCACCTTTTACATAGAGAGGACCCGCCAAATCAACTCCAACAATTTCGAAGGCAGAGGCATCTCGAACCCTTAGTTCTGGAAGAGCAGTAGGAGTGGATTGTACGCCTTTATTAGAACAATCTCTTACATTTTATACATCCGTTAACAACACATCTAATACTTTTACGTCCTCCCAAAATCCAAAACGTTTCTCTCAACTGCCATAGTAAACCTTGAACACCGACATGACAAAGTTTAATATGTTCTTCCATGATGAGCCTTTTAACAATAATATGTTTTCCTGGTAATAAAGTTGGCTGAGTAAAGTCAAAAGTATCTTCACGATATAAAAGTTTTGTCGCAATTCTTAATAGGCCGTTTTCATCTCAAAAGCTGATATATTTTTCAACAACACCACCCGGAAAAGCTTCTATTTGAAAAAGTTTCAAAACAACTAATTCAGCTTCACGAAATTCAGCAGCTGATAATTCCCCTCTCATATGACTGGAAATATATCTACAATTTGTAATAAAACGACGTATCCAACCAACCATTCGCACAACCTTAGAAAATTTAGAAAAATATCTGTAATACCAATCGAAATCAGAAGCTTTTAGGTGCGACATACACGTTACAACAATTTTTCGTTTCTCTACCAAGACTTCATCGTCATCAATAAGAACTTCTTCATTAGGCCACGAGTTAGGTTCTAATTTTAACCAGGAGGGGCCCTCTCACCATCTAGATTACAAGAGATGTTTCGGTAAACAACCCCTTGATGGTAAATCAGCTGGATTCATCTTACCAGGTATAAACTTCCACTGATCTCTGGTGGTGAACTTTAATATCTCGTTAATTCTATTACGAACAAATATCACCCACATTTCATCACGTGAAATCCAGGCCAAAACTGTAGCTGAATTAGACCAAAAGAAATACTTTATATCCATTAATTTATTAAACTCTAAAATACCTTTCGCTAAACGAGATCCTATTAATGCGGCCATCAACTCCAACCTCGGAATCGTCATCTTCTTCTAAGAAAACAGACCGCTGTATAAGCATCACAAAATGTATGAAGACTCATCTTATCGATTTTATTAGTCAAAGAAAAACTTCAAAGAAGTCTAATTTGGAATAGAAACTTCAAATCATTTAACCACTTAAGATAATCAGATTTTAAGTTTTCACATAGTTCTTCATCCCATTTTAATTTATACTTCCAAGCCTGTTGTAACAATAGTTTGGGAAACAAGTTACTGGGCAAATAAACCGTATCGGATCAAAAATCCTTTGTTCTATAGATTCTTTTTATAGCTCTGTCAAATCTTCATTTTTGCAAAACATCTGGAGAAATCAACAACATATCCTCTCTCCTATCCCAAAGAAGTCCTAAAACATTACTAACATGTTCCGAAGAAACTTGTACATCCAAGTTCTCAAATCAAATTTTACATTTTCCATTATCTCTTTAGCTTCATCGATAAAGTTTTCCAGCTTATTGAACCGATTAAAAATATTATATTCCAATTCTACCTTAGACTTATATTCAGATGGATCACGAATACCTAACACATCTAACCCCCAAAGATCTTTAATTCTATTAGTAGTAAACATGGAGCTTACCATCAGTACAGAAGAATTGTGTTTGTAATTTGAAATCTTACCCATCACAGTCCGTTCCAAATATGTTTCGACTGCAGTTAGATTAGAAGAAAGTTGTAGAATTTTACCCGTCAGAAATTTACCCGCTATATCTGCTTCTATTAAAATTTCAATTTCAGTATTAGCATCATTTAATACAATACCAGCATCCAGAAGCTCACTAATCCAATTACCTGCACGAATATTTCCACAAATTTTCTGTTAACCTAAAGCTACAAACTTATAATGACGATTTAGATTAACACTAGTTAAACGAATTTCATCCGTAACTTGACCTTCAAAAAGACAATGTACAACCCTTTCATTTCCAATTATATCGTACCATTTCCATAGCTGTTTTTTCCAAAATATATTAACTTTCTGAACCTGTGTCTATCAGAACTCTGACTTTACGACTTTTTCCATTATTTCCCTTCAAAATTACCATTAATGATTGTAGACGAACACTTGGTGAGTTGTTGAGACTGGCTAGAGAACTTTCCATAGGAGGTGTACTACCATCTGAAACATGAGAAATATTATTAACTGGTGGGCTATCCTCTTTTAGATACATTAACCTATTATGTTTACCCCCACATTTACTGCAATGAATAAGAAACATGTACCTGAAACCTTTAAAATATGTAATTTATCGTCATGTGACATTTTCTTAACCTTCAAACAGTTATAACTTTTGTGATTATTTAAATTACAAAAGATGCAAGAGGATACCTTAGTAGTGAGTGAACCAGTAACAGTCGCAACATCTTCCCTCTTCAATGGTTCTTTCTTTCTTTCTTTCTTTCTTTCTTTCTTTCTTTCTTTCTTTCTTTCTTTCTTTCTTTCTTTCTTTCTTTCTTTCTTTCTTTCTTTCTTTCTTTCTTTCTTTCTTTCTTTCTTTCTTTCTTTCTTTCTTTCTTTCTTTCTTTCTTTCTTTCTTTCTTTCTTTCTTTCTTTCTTTCTTTCTTTCTTTCTTTCTTTCTTTCTTTGAACTTTAGCTGTTATTCCAATACTTGCTATGGCTAACGTAATCTTCTCTTCATTTTCTACTTCTCTTATAAAATTCAACAAATCATCTAACTTATCTTTAGGTCTATCAGAATACGTAGTCAGCGATCTTTGTCAAATTCGTAACAGTTCCTCCGATAAATATGATTCTACCATAGGATATAAGATTAAAGACAAAATGGAACTTTGTAAATAATTTTTTTATTCTTCTTGATAAAACAAACCAATACATCAATCATAAATAAATCGTACATAACGTTTGCTACAGGATGATTATAAATGTCAATATACATTAGTTTTATAGGGTGATTTCGTAACACTTATTATAACGTCGTTTTTTCGTAGTTCGTCTACCTTTAATAGCATGTGGATTTTAATTTGCATAAATATGCTCATTGTGTAATCTACTTCAACTGTAATTTCTTTTTCCTTTATTTAAACTTAAACATTGTTGTACTTTTACAGATGAACTTAAGCATATTATTGGATCAGAAACAACGAGGCGCGGCTTGTTAACGATCTTCGATCTATTCCAACGACCAATTTTAAACCGTAGGCTATTATATGTATTATTGGAGGGAGTTTTATGCACTTTATTTCCGGACAAGGAGATGAATAAATTATTTGTTAAGTTATATTGTAAGTCGAAACACGATGATCAGAAGAGAACTCGAAAGGATAGGTGATGATTTATAAATTTAATTAAACATAGTTACAATAGTAAGATCTTAACGGTATATTAACGAAAAATATAACATAATTATTAAAAAAAAACAAGCTCATGGTTTTAAATTTTACATTTTTTTTTATATTGCTGATTGAATTTTTATAACGTCCAAATACATTTAAACTAAAGTCCAAATACATTTAATCTCGTGTGTGCTATGTAGTTTTATCAAATTCACTTTGGAAACGGTACTATTACAGCTCAGACATAATAATTCATTCTTGTTTAGATGAGAATTTGAACCACTGCTTCATCCACCCAGCCAGGGGCGCTCATATACGTGGGGGAGGGGGGTAATGACCCCCTAGAATTTTTAAACCTAAAATGTATTTTTTTTTGTGTCATCGGCATCAACTGCTATGGTAATTAGCCTCGTGTTCTGTGTAGGCTTTGTTACTGTTTCCCAGCGCCACTTTAGGGACAGCACTGTTAATTAGAACCCAACAGTGAATGGTCGGGTGGGGAATCCTACCAAGGCATCAGAATTAATTTTAATCTACTCATTTCATACTCTTTTTGGGCAGTTTCCACACTCCTGTTTGCGAGATTGTCTACTTTGTTAGTATTGTTTTGTCTATTCTGTTTATCTGTGCTTTCTACTGGGGGAGTGACTACTGGCGTGATGGTGCCGTCATCGGAGGATTTGTTATTTTGCCCATAGTTAAGCGTTCTCACATGTTCTTTGGTAGCGGAAGCGTTACATATGCTGAATTAAAATTTACGATGTTTTCTCCTAACTTTCGCGATGTGAAAATTGTCGACTTTTTGATTGTTTTTAAGGTGGTTACAACTTCAATGTGTTCGTTCATCTCCAAAACGGTCCGGTTTAAATTATCAGGGCTCTCAGATCCGTCTCTCGAGTCTTCGAGATCGTTGATTAGATTCTCCAAGCTTTCATTTGGATTTCCTCTCACTGTATTGTCTGTGTTCTCCACACTTTTATTTAGTGAGTCTTCCGAGTCCTCACCCGAATCTTCGTTTGCGTCTCCGTTTTCAGACTCTGTGGTCACTTCGTAGGCGTTCTCCCAACTTTTTTCGGCTTTCTCCGAACTTTCTTGGGCTTTCTCCGAACTTTCTTGGGTATTCTCCAAACTTTCCTGGGCGTTTTCCAAACTTTCATTTTGATTTTTCTGCTTACTTCTTTGAGAATTTTCGACTGTTGAATGTCTTTATTCGTACTATCAGTGCTATGGGTCGAATTGGTGTCTTTCACCGAATGTTTTCTCCAAGCTTTTTTGGGAAATATTTTTGGTCTGGGGTCCCTGTTATTGTGTGCAGCTGATACCAGGTTAAGTGAGTTAGTTGTCTTTCTCCTTTTGGTACTCACGTTTTTGTAGGGATGAATGTGCTTTGCTTTGAATATCTTCGGGCTTAGGATGGCTGAATATGATTGAATTATTTTTACAATATGTCCGGGAAAGTCATTCACAAGCATTTTGTGTATCAGACGGTGTCGAAAGCTTTTTCACTGTTTAATGTGACTATAATTGTCTGAAGGTCGTTGTTAAAACCCTCCTTAGTGCCATTCTTAAAATTTGTGTTACGGTGCTATGCTCTTCCCTGAAACCGTACTGTTCCCATGGGATAATTTGTAAGCGTTGTTCGATTTTTTTAAGTCTCGTTAGTATTAATGTGTCGATTATTTTTGAAATTGTGTTTAGTAAGAAAATGGGGCAGTAACTATCGATTTTATTGGCCGGTTTACTTGCCTTGTATATTTGTATAATATTTGCCATCTTCAGGCCACTAGGATAGTGTTGTAGCCTGAAAATGGCATTTACTATATGGTACAGCTGCACGATAGTTTTCTTGCTGAGGTTATTTAATAAAATGTTACTGATGTCATCCGGTCTCGGAGACCCTTAATCACATCACACACCTCCTTGGGGAGGTAAAAAAGAATTGTGACATTAATTATGATTCTGACTGCTCAAATGTGTTTGATATTTGTTCTATGCGAGTTTGTTCCAGGTTATTCTCCTGTTCGTTTATGAATTTTGACTGAAAGTATTCGCCGAAGGCTTGGCCTTTGTCTTTGTCCGTGCTTAGTAGGTGTTTCATTGTGGGAAGTAGTGAGTTCGGTTTTTTATACTTTTTCACCACTTTCCACAATGTATGTTCGGTTTGAGTTCTGGTTTTCCAATTATTATTTCGGAAGTCTTTTATCATTTTATTAATGTTTTTTTGCAATGTTGTATAACCTCACCCTATCAACACTTTGTCTCTGTCGTTTCTCCTTTTTTTTAATGTCATTTTTATGATTTATTAGTTCTGTAATCTCTATAGGCAATATGTCGTTATGTTATATGTGGTTGTCTCGTTTCTAGCTTTTTGTATGATTTTGATAAATTTATTTGTTTCATTTTCTAGGGCTTCATTTGTCTGAATATTGTTGTTTATGTGTGTGTATTCGTCTAATTTCTTTCTGTATAATGCCCAATTAGTCGTTTTGTAGTCATGGTATTGCCTATATTGTCTTTGTATTTTTTGTGTCGTTCAGATCTCCAAGTACACCGGATCATGATCTGAGTTTAATATATGTATAGTCCTCATATTTCGTATGTCTGTGATGCACCCAGCTTGGCTGTTAACTTCATTATTTTTATCATTTTTGGATAAATCGGATACAACAAACATTTTTCATTTTTTTGGGCATAATTTCCCACTATATATTTAAACTTACAGTGTGATATTTTAATAACTATTCTAGTCAATAATCCTTCCATGTATTTTTCTTAATAAATAAGATAATACAAGTATATATGTGAACAATACAAATAAATATGCACGACTAACGTGAGATAAAACTATTTATTTAGAATGTTTATAAATTATAAGATCAAACGAACTTACCTGAAGTTAAGTTCGATCTTAATTATACTTGCGTTTCGTTCTTCAGATGAAAACAGCGTAGTAGTATCTCGCCCTGGCGCCACCTTCGCCATTTCCCAGTTCCATCCTGTCAATGATCTCACTAATTCAAAGTCTAAATCTGTCGCAAGTTAATTGGGGTTTTTCTGTACGGACTATTTTGTGTCGAGTTCATCTTCGAAGGAAACGCTACGTATAATTAAGATCGAACTTTACTTTAGGTAAGTTCGTTTGATCCTCTAATTATACTTGCGTTTCCTTCTTCAGCTGAAAACAGAAAAAAGAAAGACATTTGTTCATTAAATCGTATATTTTACAATATACCTCAACACAAATACACCAAACTAAAATACAAAGTTATATCAACATAACAAACAAAATATAAATCTATAATTATCCTACTACTTTTTTTTGGCAAAGACTGATTTATATTAGATTGGTTTATTAGAAAACCGCGCAAAAAATGGCAAATTTTTCAGACCAACCTGCCGTAGAGCGTATAACGTCGATGTTAACCCCTTTGACGTAGCTGCGTGTCGTGTACTATGAGCAAAGAATACAGAGGTATCAATTCCACTATCTTTGAGTACAGATTTAATCCAACGACTTATTGTCTGGGGACTCGCTGCTAGTAGAGGGGAAAAGGAGATGCAAAACTATGCATTGCGATGGGGCATCAAAAGGAAGCGATGGGGCATCAAAGAGATGTGAGGGGGAGATCAAAAAGATGTAAGGGGGAATCAAAAAGGTGCGAGGTGGAATTAAAAAAATGTGAGCGGGGAATCAAAAGGAAGCGATGGGGAATCAAAAGGAAGTGATGAAGGACCAGAAGAATGCGATGAGGGATTAATATGATGTTATGGGGTATCAAAGAGATGTGATGGGAGTCAAATAGTTAGGAGGGGGGAATTAATAGGATGTCTTGGGGTATCAGAGAAATGTGATAGGAGTCAAATAGTTACGCGGGGGAGGTAATGATCAAGGTGAACGACCGATTAAACTGGCTATATGAGAATGTATTGTTAAGAGTAATTATATTGAAGAATGTTGATAAGGCTTAAAAGTCTGAGCATTAATGAAGGGTAGGAAAAGCCAACAGATATGCATATTTTAGTTTAATTGTTACAATAAGTTTATTACAAACACTAGTGGAAAAAATTAAGGGATCAAAAGAAATCTCGATTTTTGCGATTTTTTCGAGTGGCTGTATCTTTGGTAAAAATGGTTGTAAGTGAATGAAAAAAAAATCAATTTGAAGCTTGAAGTATCTAGTTTATGGATCTTGCGATAAAAAATTTTCTAACCAACAATTAGCACAAAATTGGATTGAATTTTTTTTAATTTTTAGTGTATGGACTTGAAAAAAAATTTCTCGACATAACCACTATATGCATTGGATAGGTGGTCCAGTTAGCTTCAATTCCTTTTTTTGTTGGTCTCGAGATGACCCTTCCTTGCTGAGTCATCAGAAAATGAACGAAAATGCGTCATTTCCTCTTTTCTCGTCAATATCTCAGGAACCAATGGCTGCTCTGAAAATGGATGGGGGCTTTCGGAAACTTCGATTCATTCTCTACAAGGTTCTGGTAGGTTCTTTCACGAGATTTTTTTTTTATCCCTAGCATGACTTTGGGGAATTTCGGAAAATAGGTTTTTTTTAGAAAATCACGTGCCACATTGAGAATATTGGGAAAATGAATAAATTAGAATGTGCATCTTACAGGCCATTGTTCCTCCGAAAGCCCTACAAAATTTCAATCTGATCCATCAAGCCATTTCATTGTTTCATGCGAGTGAAATCGTAGCAAAACGCTTTCCTTTCATCGGTGTCTTCAGTTTTGGGAAGAGGAAAAAGTCAGCGGGGGCCAAGTCCGGTGAATACGGTGGTTGAGGCATGATAACGGTTTTGTTTTTGGCCAAAAACTCACGCACAAGCATCGATGTGTGAGCTGGTGCGTTATCATGGTGCGAAATCCATGATTGTTTTTTCCACAATTCCGTGCGTTTCTGACGAATTGTTTCGCGAAAACGGCGCATAACTTCAAGGTAGTATTCTTTATTGACCGTACGACCTTGTGGCAAGAATTCATGATGCACCACGCCATTGCAGACGAAGAAAACAGTGAGCAAAACCTTCACATTTGACCGAACTTGACGTGCTTTTTTCGGTCTTGGCTCTTCTGGACGCTTCCATTGGGATGATTGGGCTTTGGTTTCAATGTCATAGCCATACACCCATGATTCGTCACCAGTTATGACCTTTTTGAGGAAATCTGGATCGTAGTTGACAATGTTCAACAGCTCCTGAGTGATGTCCATGCGACGTTGTTTTTGCTCAAAATTTAGCAATTTTGAAACAATCTTCGCTGCCGCACGTTTCATGCCTAAAACATCCGTAAAAATTGCTTGGCATG